GCTTTCATTGCATCCAGGCGAGAATTCAGAATTTTTCTCTTTCCATCCTTACTGGCAACAAGAAGGAAATTGACAGTGGGAGACATTTCCATTATTAGACAAATCGGAAGATGACTGCAAAGAGGCAGGTAGCACCCTGCACTCTCAGTTGCGATGGTGAGATTGGGTGTCTAAGGACGATCTCAGACTGTGAGTCTTAGATGATACTTTAGATACATTTCCCCTACTCGAGAATCGGTGAGTGAATGATACGGTCTTGTGGTACAGTCCAGAAAAAGGAAATGCACGTTGTCTTCTGGTCATTCAGCAGAACTTCGTCACAATATTTTGCAACATGAACCCAGACCATCCTGTGCTGATTTAAAAAAAAAAAAATTTGCGTGACAACATTCTTTCATTTTTTGTGTTGTTTGGCTACCAGAATTTCTTAATCACTGCCCACAAAATAAGTGGACAAATGCAAAAGGAGGTTTTGTGTACAAAGATGATAGGAAAGAAATAAGCGATACAATAATGAAAAAGATCATTAGCTTAATCTCTCCTAGGAGTTTATAACCATTTTAACTGGTCCCATCACCATTTTTTTAGTTATGGGACCACGAAGACGGTGGTTCTTCTGTAATTTGAGAAACTCAAAATTACGAGTTTCAAAAGTAGTATCTGATAATACTACTAAAGTAGTATTTGATAATACCGCTCCAAGAAGAATCGGAGTCATGATGAGCTAGAACCTACTGGAGGTGGGTTTGGAATCGGGCGTCGGTCCAGGTGGGCTATGCTCTGGGTTCTGGTGTTGCCAGCTGATGAACATTTAGTTGCATAAATGGACCTCACCCATTTCAGGTGCGTGTGCTTTCCAAACTACAAACCTGGGATAAAAACTTGGGTTTGCTATTTTAAATTCATATTGGAATGATTTTTGTTATCCTTTATTCTGTATGTTATTTGTAAAATGACTTAAAGACCCTTTTCATTTTTCTACAGTTTAAGTTAGATGGTAAATGGTGATGACTATTTTTTCCTGGCATACTGAGGGTTAAGCATGGTTCAGAGTGTTTTTTTCTTTTCTTAATGTTGCCTAGATTTTATTGCTGAACCATACACTATGGGATTGATGTTAACAGTAATTCCCACTTCATGAAGGTAAGACTAAGGGCCTACTGCACTTTCCCCATCTTACTGGGAATGGTGTTTGTGGATTTGTTTTGAGTCATTTGCTGCTTCCCCCATTGCAACATTTTGTCCAATTCAGATAATACCAAATTATTTTCATAAAAGAGCAACATGATCTCACTTCCAAATAAATGTATATCGTTGTTTCCTCTTTTGCATTTTTATTTTACTGGCTGCTTTGTCCCTATTGAAATTCCTTTGGAAGCAATGGCTTAGAGCAGTGAATCTCAACTCTGGTTGCTAGTAAAATCACCTGGGGACTTAAAAAACACATTGTACATAAAACGGTATCTAAGCCCTGCCTGCAAAAATTCGAAATCACCTGTCAGGGGCAGGGCTCCGACAGCCGTCTTTGTGAAGCTCCCAAGTGATTCTGATGCTGCTGTGGTTGAGAGCCACCAGCCTGGAGTCTCAATTCACCAGTAGATCACTGTTTCCTATCAGACTTATGTGGAACCTTAGTAAGTAAAAAAATAGCATTTCATTAGTGCAGACTTAAAAGTTTGAATTTTATAATATGAAGGCAATCAGTTGAAATAGTTTATGTGAATTTTCACAACACATAATTATACCATATATTGTTTCCATGCATTGAAAAAGACACACGACTGGGAAAGGCACAGTCTTGTTTTAGAGCAGTAGTTCCCGCCGCCACGGACAGGAGAGCAGCAGCGCATCATTGTGTTCCTTAAAAAAATAAGTAATGCCAGTGGTGCTTAGTGTTGACATTTGCTAAATCCAGTCGCCTGTTACATTCATATTTTTCTACATCTTTAAAATAGGTCAAATTAAAAAATAAAAATTAAAAATTGGGTTGGTATAATGAACAAAAAATAAAAACTTTGGATATATGCATGGCAATTGATGTCTTATATCAGCCTCATCACCTAGTTTATTTCCGACTTTTTTTTGGTTGCACATAAGGAGATCATTCTCACTGACACAGTTCCTGAGCATGAGAATGGACCATTTTTTAAAAGCTCATTTATTAAAAAAAATCTCTGGATAGTCTTCAAATAAATAGCTGTCAAAAGTTTGACAGTCTTCTGTGTGTTAATATTTGATGTGAAACACATACTTTTCTGTTGCTTTCAAAACCATTAAGATAAAATATACATAAAGAAGGTTATCATTGTAATCATTTTTAAGTGTACTGTTCCGTGGCATTAAATATATTCTCAGTGTTGTGCAGCTGTCACCATCATTCATTTTCAGAACTTTTTTACCACTTCGCATGGAAACTCCTGTACCTGTTAAACAGTAACGCCCCCGTCTCATCCCCATCCCTGGGTAACCTCCGTTCCACTTCTGTCTCCATGCACTTGCCTATTCAGACACTCATCTGAGTGGGTGTTGGTGTTTGGCTTACTGCAGTCATAATTTTTCAAGGTTTATCCATGTTGTAGCGTGTGTCAGAATTCCATTCCTTTTTGGGGCTGAATGGTATTCCATTGTATGAATATTTCATGTGTTGCTTACCCGCTCGTCTTTTGGCAGATGTTTGGGTTTTCACCTTTTAGCTGTTGTGAATAATGCTGTGAGCATGTGTCTCTCTGAGTCCCTATTTTAAATTCTTTTGAGTATATATCTAGAAGTGGAATTGCTGGATCACATTGTAAATCTATGTTTAACTTTTTGAAAAACCATCAAACTTTTCTGTAGAGTTTGTACCATTTTACATTCTCAGCAGCAACGTACAAGGGTTCCAATTCCTTCACACCTTTGCCAACACTTGCTATTTTGTGGCCATTCTTATGGGGGTGAAATGGTATCTCATTGTGGTTTTGATTTGCATTTCCTAAGTGATGTTGAGCATCATTTCACATGCTTTTTGTCTATTTGCATATCTTCTTTGGAGACATGTTTATTCAAATCCTTTTCCTATTTTTGAGTTGGGTTGTTGTTGAGTTTTGTAGGAGTTCTTTTTATGTTCTGGGTGTTAATTCTTTATCAAGTATATGATTTGCATATATTTTCTCACATTCCGTAGGTTGTCTTTATTCGGTTTATAGTGTTCTTTGATGCACAAAACTTTCTAATTTTGATGAAGTCCAATTTCTTTTTTATTTTGTTGCCTGTGCTTTTGGTGTTACATCCAGTAAACCATTGCCAAATTCAGTGTTATGAAGCTTTTCCTTGATTTGTTTTCTAAGACTTTTATCGTTTTTGCCCTTACATTTAGGTCTTGAGTTAATTTTTGTATATGGTGTAAGGTGAAGGTTCAGGTTGTGTGTGTGTGTGTGTGTGTGTGTGTGTGTGAGAGAGAGAGAGAGAGAGAGAGAGAATATCTGGTTTTCCCAGCACCATTTGTTGAAGATACTTTAAAATTTAACAAATAAATGTCAAACCAAATCGCCATGGAACCTGTGCCTTATAAGGTGCCTTGCTTGAAGATTTACAGCTTTAAGGATTCCCTCATAAAAAAGCAGGCCTTTTTTTTCTTTAGGATTTAACAAGAATAAAAGTGTGTTTAGCTTAATAAACCACCAGAAATGCTATGCAAATACTGTTGACCAGTCAGAGAGTGAGGGGAAGCCACGTTGGAAAGGAAGCAGTAGCATCGTGGGAGGGAGGGAAGGAACTATAAATATGTCTGGGATAAATGTGTTTGTACAGGACTATATTCTTGATCGCATTTGTTTTTATAAAACTTCATGTTTTATTTCTTTTAATTACAGCTTAATATGATGGCCCAGCGTAGGTATAGGATCTACCTGATAAAACGTAAGGAAATAGGGACAGTCCTGTACACCTTGCTCATTCAGCCATTACAGCCACAGGTTTCTGTCAGACACTTTTAATCTTGGAAATGGGATTTTATAATTTGTTGACTGACGAGTCCCAGTAATATGAGGAAGAGCACAGGTTGCTTGCCTGCCGTGTTTCGGGGGCACTTTGCTGCCACCGAGCTCCTCTCGGTCCCCCTCTGACCGCGGCATCAAGGTCCAGACTGTAGCCGGCAGCAGGGAGGGGGCCGCGGCCCTCCTTGGTCTCAGCTCTCACGGGGGCTGTGTGTGAACCTGGTCACAAAGGCGGAGACTCAGCCTCTGTTCAGGAGATTTGATTAGTTTGCACCTTGCGTTCTGCCAGAAACAGTAAGTCTGAGACACTTGGCACTTTTTAAATAATAGTTTCACTGCAAATTTTTTTTTTTTTAGTGGTTTCCAGGGACTTCATATCCAGATAAGAAACCCACATACTTAAGTGGAGAGACTTATATTTGAACTTGTTATGTCTCACACAGATCTATTTTGACTTTTTCCAAAATGTGACTTGTCAGTCCTCGAGGGGGGCTTTGGCAGGCCCTTTTCCAGAGCAGCTGTGGCATCTCGCCACACCGTGGTTAGGCTCACTCATACTCTGAGGTCTGTCGTGTGTGTGTTGTGCATGGTGGGTTTATGGGGTATAGCGTAACCCAAGTTCGATAGAACACTTAAAAAAAAAAAGATTGATTGATTGATTGATTGATTTGTAGATGGAGGGGGAGGGAGCGAGAAAGAGAGGGAGTGAAACATCACTGTGTGGTTGCCTCTCATGACCCCTCTACTGGGGACCTGGCCCACAACCCAGGCATGTGCCCTGACTGGGAATCGAACCACCATCTCTGGTTTTTCAGGCCGGTGCTCAATCCACTGAGCCACAGCAGCCAGGGCAACACTATTTTTTAACCTTTAAAATTTTCTGACACACTGTACATATGTGCCTTGTTCACTGGTTCGACACTCAGTCCAGAAAGCTAGGGTTCAGTGCTTTTAAGGTTTATCATCACAGCTGGGATGTCGATATTTTAGTAAGAGTTAATTACTAAACAGTTTTTCTTGTTTTAGGTGAACGGAAGAGAATCAGAAGAAGAAAATCTCAATAAATCTGAAATAAGTCAAGTGTTCGAGATTGCACTTAGACGGAACTTGCCTGTGAATTTTGAGGTGAGTTTATTTTATATGTTAGGACTCTTTATTATGAGATTCTGTTGACATTCATCATTGGAACTGTATTTGTCCTAAATAACGTTTTAGAGTCACAATCACACACATGTGAACCTTCGAATTTAAGAATCAAACTGCGTATTAGCAGAGTACTATTATCTCCTCCCAGGAGTCACTGGGGCAGCCTTGGCCCCCTGGATGGTCCGTGACGGATGCAGCGGGTCTGCAAGCCCCCCACAGTGGGTCGAGCGTTGTGTTTGTGTGCACGTGGGCATTTCTCTAGGGAGGGTCCGTTTTCATAATGTTACAGAACATGAGGGGCCAAGGTTCGTTATGTCCATCGCCCTATAGGAAAGATGTCTCCCAATGCCAGAGATTTGTGAAAAGGAAAGGAAATGTATATTTAATGCTCTACAGACTTAAAGTAGTGACCTAACGTCTTCATTTAAAATACCAAAGTCCTTTTGGATACCTACAGATGCACACAGTGCTTCCTTATCCCCCTGCTCTGATTTGAGGTACCGTATCTCAGGAAGAGAAGCACACATCTGTGTTTCAGGCCGCTGGCACCATCAGCTCTGTCGCCGTCCAGGCAGGATCTCCAATTAATCCAAAGCCATGTGGCACCTTCTCATGGTCTATTGGCAAGAGTTCTTTGTAACCACTTTCCAGGCAGTCTCTCTTACTTCCCAGGCCACGTGGCCAAATGGAGCACCCCAAAGCAGCGTGGTTCTCTTCTACTGAAGCTGCAAGGGTCTGCATTCTGGCCAAAATGCATGGATCTCTCCTCAAGGCTGTGGAGAGGGTAGGGTCGCCACTCTGGCAAAGCTGAGTGGTGATTCTTTGCTAAAGCCGCATGGTGATTCTCTCTACCCCTAGCTTCGGGGGTCCCCACGCTGTCCAAAAGCCCGTGGCTCTCCTCACCGCCACAGCTGTGCGGTCCTCTCTAATGGCTGCTGGGTCTGGGTTTAAATCCCCATGCCAATCTTCCTCTGCAGCCCCATTTCCGACAACTCCCACAATCTGCTATACTTGCCAGTACTCCCGTATCCTCCCAGCTTTACTGGGCTGCCATTGTGAGTCTGGGCAGGGGTGGCCCCATGTCGTGGAGCCAGTCATCTCCAATCTCTCACACAGGCACTGTAACTCAGGGGACCTGCCCCCAGTTACATCTTGGGTGGAAGTCACTTCCATCCCCCTGACTCAGAGCATGGCCACAGCTATTTAATACATCTATGCAGCCAGGTAAAGGTTATAGATATGTTAAATGACCATGCCAGAGGTTAGCTGCAAAGCTGTTGCTGTACATAACAGCACTCAATGTCCTTGCTTCATGGGCCCTTCCCCCAACTCACACCTGTGGGGGAACGGGTGAGGACATCCTAATATTCCCTGGACATCTCGAGTTCTGGACCCCATTCCAAATCCCTTTCGGGGGCCCCCTCTTGGCTGCACCCTGTTACAGTAAGACTGTCAAAAGTGTCTCTTACCCCCAATGTTAGGAATCTTAAGTGGTCCCTAAAAATTGTATCAGGGTAGTTTTATAAAGGACATAGGCCTTGTCATTGTCCAGCATCTGCTCCCCTGGGTGTTGGGGACTCTGGTCTACAAACCGTAATCAGCGGCTGTTAGTCGAGTACGGAGAACAGGTAACCTGTGCATTTTCTTCACAGGTACAGGGAGTGCAGAGCTAGGCAGGGAAGGGGGGATTTTTAAATGTTTTTCTTAGAACTTGCCATGCACCAGACTGTTTTCCATGCTTGGTTATGCAAGGCTGTGTTTTACCATCCAGTACAGGTTTTTCGCCAGTTGTTGGTCTTTCGGAGTTATAAAGAGTGTACTCGTGTACTTAGTCTTCCTAAGGGCTTTAAACTTAGACATTGTTACTTTAGGCAAATGTAATTTACAGTGGGACATGTGCATAAAACAGTTTTAAGTCATTCATAACCTTCTTTTGTAGCATTTTTGCAGTTACAGGTGATCCCAAATTTCATGCCTAACTTTCATAAAATACAGATATGTTTTCTTACATATATCACGTGCTGGCACCCTAAACCGGGTCCTGGTTTCAGTCCTTCATCCGTCAGCTGATCGATGATGATTTCTGACCTCCCACTTGGTGGTGCTTACCTGCCTGCCGCGGGGCTGATGGGGCCACCGGCACACCCTCCCCTGCCCTGTCCTGACAGGCAACTCCAGGTTTATATCACTTCCTTCTGGAGCGCAGAGCACAAAGGGCTGGTGTCTTCTTACTCTGCCCTTCATCCCTCCCAGCTTTTCTCCCTGGGTCGGAGGTGGTGGGAGGCAGGAATAGGGAGACAGTGAGATGGGTCGCACAGAATGACAGGACTGGGAACCAGTTGGGTGGGAACCAGGCGGGAGCTTCACCCCAAGAGGCCACACAGTCTCCTTGAGCACTTTCTGCAGGAAAGGGAAGAAATGTTCCTTCTCTCCACCTCCTGAGGGCTGAGTAGGCACAGGAATGGATTTGCAGATTGGAGGGAGTGGTACCCAGATTGCTGGAGGCAGAGATGTCTGGCTTCCTGGGTCTCCTCTGGGTTTCATAGGTGTTTGCTGGGGCCGGGGCCCTGGATCCCTGGGAGCTGGTCATCCACTCACACTGGTCACTGCCCTGCCCGAGTCCCGGGGCTTCCTGAACCTGAGTGAGGGACTGCGCTTTAGGTTTGGCTCTCTGGGGTTTGGAGACCAGGTTGCCTCCATCCCACTCGCTCTGCTGTTTAGGTTTCGGCTTCAGCTTTCAGGCGTGTGCTCAGGAACGTGTAACACAGGGCCCAGACTTGTCAGGTGGTCGCAGAAGAAATTGTGGGAGTGCCTTCTGGTGGCAAAAGATTTTAAAGTAAAAAGATTTTTAAAAACCCTCCCTCAAGGATATATTTATTGCTTTTTTTTTTCCTTTAAGAGAGAGGGAGGGAGGGGAGGAAGGGGAGAAGGAGAGAGAAACATCAGTGTGAGAGAGAAGCATCGACCAGTTGCCTCCTGTACACTCCCTGACTGGGGGTCGAACCCGCAACCTTTTGGTGTGTGGGATGACATACTGACCATCTGAACCACCCGGCCAGGGCTAAAGTAATCATTTAAAACGTTACAGTTCATGTTCAGTTTGGGACATTGAGTTTGTTGACGTGAGCACTTACATATTAAATAACTCATGTATCAAAGGTTCATGTTAACTCCCATTGTTAGGTTGAGCAGACTTCATGTTCGCGCACAGCCTTTGTCTCTAGCACCTGGGAGGTCGCCTGACATACGGTGGACGCCCTGCAAATAGTTAATGACTGAGTGGACAGAATAGTTTGGGGTTTTTTTAACTAAGTTTTTGATAGTAAAATCTTGTTGCATAGGCAGCTGGGTTGGGGCTTGGTAAAAGACAGGAGCCATTCATAATAGCGTTCTTTAGAAAAATGTATACAACTTGATTTTTACATAAAATACATAGTTTCAGTTCAAAACTATGATGGTGCTGATTGACTTAGTCACCGGAGGCACTTGTGACCCGGCCACAGTAGGTCCACTGCAGTCAGAATTCACGTGAACATGGGCGGGACGGCTCCGAGTACAGTGGAAATGTCCACCGCGGGGCCGGGTGGAACCGTGACTGGGACGTGGGTGTCGGGGTGGCTGCAGCTCTGAGGACACGGGGAGCACTGTTCAGGGAGGGGGTTTTGGAATGTCGGCCGTTGGTGTGGGAAGTGCAGTCTGGAAGGTGTTCTGAGGGCCGTGTGGCTCGGTAGAGTGTCGAAAGGGTTTGGGGTTTGATTCCCAGTCAGGACACATGAGCTGTGTTGCAGGTTTGACCCCTGGTTTGGGCCGGTATGATTCCGATCCCGGTGTGTACCAGAGGCAACCAGCCAGCGTTTCTTTCTCACATCGATGTTTCTCTCTCTGCCTTCCTCTCTCTAAAAGCAATGAAAACATGTCTTTAGGTGAGGATAAAGAAACAAAATAAAATCAGTCTGCACGGATTGCGCAAACTGGGCCCTTCCCGCAAACCTCTTCCTGGGGTGGAGGGCAGGCGAGGCCTCTGTGGAGAGGACGCCTCCCCGCTCCCACCTGACGCACACTCCTCCGTCTCATGCCTATTGGCCACTAAGGATCTTGTTTGTAAGGTACCGGTTCAAGCGTTTCTTTGAGCACTTTGTGTTTCTGTTACTGCCTTATGGAAGGTCTTTAAATATTCTGGATATAAATCCTTTGTCAGATACATGTATTGCAAATACTCATGGTCATTCTGTAGGTTCCTTTTTTTCACTTTAAAAGTATTTTTTAATGAGCAGTTTTTAATTTTGAGAAATTTTCATTTTCTTTATGCTTGGTGTTTTTTGTATTCCGGACTCTTTGCTAACTTTGTGGTCATGGAGCCTCCTGTTCTCTGAAAGCTGTATAGTTTTAGCTTCCACATTTAGGCTTGTCTTCTAATACAAGCTGATTTTTGTCGGTGGTTGAGTGTGATACCATGGTTCAGTTTTTCCTCGTGAGGATATCTAGTTTCTCTGATGGCATGTTTTTATTTAATTTTGTAAAAAAATTAGTGATTTTAGAGAAGGGGGGAGAGAGAAACATCAGTTTGTTGTTCCACTTATTTTCACGTTCATTGGCCGACTCTTTTGTACCCTGACTGGGGATCAAACCGCAACTTCAGCGATCAGGACGACTCTCCAGCTAGCCAGGCTGCCTGGTTAGGGCCTCCAATACCATGTTTTTTAAAGACGACTTTGGACTTGCTTTGGAGTGTTTGCCCCAAATCAAGCAATTATATGTATATGTATAGGTCTGTCTCTGCATTCTGTCTGTTTTATCAGTTGGTTTGTCCTTTAGCAATTCCGAGATGCTGCAGTTGCTAGAACTTTGTAGGAAGTATTGAAATCTGGTAGTATAAGTCTTCGTTTTTTTAGTGGTGTCTTGGCTGATGTAGGTAGGATTCAATTTTTATTTTTTTTCTGTGTGAGCATGTAATCATTTTGATACGCAGTTAAGTTTCTGTTCATATTCCATTTTGTTGTTTTTCCCTGTCTTTGTTGACCTTTTTTTATATTTTCAATATTTAAAATACTAAATGGTTCTAAAAGTCAATAGTAGATAAAAAGACACGTTTGCAGATGTCACCTTGTCCCCTCTCTACCCCAGTCCCTCCCACCTGCTGTAGGGAAGTAATTCTCTTGCTTTCTCCTTTATCCTTTCTGTTTATTTTTGCAGTGATCGCCATATAAGCACACGTGTCTATTTATGTGTATATGTATACATATATATAAAACAGAAGTTAGTGTACCATATATACTTTTCTGCAGTTTGCTTTTTTTTTTACTTACTATGTGTTGGAAATCATACTCAGTGCTTAGAGATTTTTTCCTTATTTTAAAGGTGCATAGCAGTCAGTATTTAATAAGGTCAATTTTGGCTGAAGGGTCAGAGCAAATATTAAACTTGAACTCTTTCTGCTGTAGTTATTTCTGGGCTTTGCTGGGTCAGCTTTCTTTCTGCCGTTTGCAGTGGGCTACCCTAGACTCAGGACAGTCGGTGACTCTGGGGAGACGCGAGCCATTGTTCCAGAAGGGCAGCAGTAGAAAGTGTTTTCTTCCTCCATGCCTCACAGTTCTGGGCTCATCAGACCCAAGAACGTGTAACATGTTTGGAAAATAAGAAAGGAGGGAAGAAAAAGCATTCAGCATGATCACTGTCCTTTTGCCGACATTTATGCTCCCTTCTTTAGTCGGTTTTGCCCCTCATTTCCCTTTACCTGTGTCTTATGTGAAGGGATGTGCTAACCAGTGTGCCCTACAGGTTGCGGTGTGTGTCTGTCACGCTTTCACTCAGTCTTTCCCTCTGAAACAGGTCGCCCGGGAAAGTGGCCCACCTCACATGAAGAGCTTTGTGACCAAGGTGTCGGTTGGGGAGTTTGTGGGGGAAGGTGAAGGGAAGAGCAAGAAGATTTCAAAGAAAAATGCTGCTATAGCTGTTCTTGAGGAGCTGAAGAAGTTACCACCCCTGCCTGCAGTCGAGCGGGTGAAGCCCCGAATCAAAAAGAAAACAAAGCCCATAGTCAGGGTAAGCATCTTTCTGAACGAAGAGGGCGTTTTCATTGGTTGTGACGGTCTCAGGGAGCTGAGAAGACTAGCTGCCGGCTCCAGTGGAAGTGGAGGGAGCTAACGTGCACATGCCGGGCCTGGGAGACCCTGTACAAGGCTACCTTTCATTCCCTTGGGAGTCCTGGGTCGGGCAGGCAAGGATGCTGAGCCGGGTTCAGTGGAGGCACCTGCAGGCCACATGCATCTGTGGATGTGGGTGTCTGCAGCCCTGTGATCACAAGGGCAGTCAGCACCCACCTGCGGGGAGAGCGGTGAACCGAGAGTCCTCCGTCTCATGGGCTACTGGGCTTGTACATCGTGAAGGAGATTTGTGGAAGGAAAGCTGGCGGGGGCAGGTGTAGGAGCAAGAAGTCTCACTACGTGAGGGGGGCGCCCTCAAAAAGCTGGAGTTATCTTCCGGAGGGCGGCTCCTGGTAGCACAGGGTTCCGCCGCTAGGTGAGTGTTCTGGGACCCCAACTGTATCAGTGTAGCAGCTGGCGTTGTTGTGAGAGGCTGCATTTGGTTTCAGTAAAATTTGTTTTGAAGACTCTTTCAGTGCATTTGCTGATTTCATGATGGATGATTTACAGTCACGCCCGCCCACCACACCAAGTGTTTAGCAGGTTTTGACCAAAAACGGCAAGACCCTTGTGCCCCACCCTCCCTGTTCACCCAGTCTTGCCCCTAGTGACTTTTTTTTTGTTTCCCTGGTTGAAAAAGGCCCTTAAAGGAAGATACTTCACAGATGTAGAAGAGGAGAAACAAAAAAAGACAGAAGCACTAAAAGGCATCAAAGTCCAGGAGTTCAAAAACTGTTTCTGAGCAATGGAAAAGATGCCTTTTTAAAAAAGATTTTATTTACTTATTTTTAGAGAGAGGGGAAGGGAGGGAGAAAGAGGGAGAGTAACATCAGTCTGTGGTTGCCTCTCACATGCACCAAACTGCAGACCTGGCCCACAACCCAGGCACGTGCCCTGACTGGAAGTCAAACCAGCAACCCTTTGGTTTGCAGGCTGGCACTCAGTCCACTGATTCTCACCAGCCAGGGTGGAAAAAGATGTCTTGATAAAGTGTATTGAATGGAGAGTACTTTGAAGGTGATGGAAGTTTAAACATGTAAGAATAAATACACAAATTTTTATAAATAATTCTAGGTTTGTTTTTGGGTCCTCCTCATACACCTTGTTTTGGAGTTTTGGGTCATGCTAATGGACCTATCGGAAATTGGGCTGCTCCTCCACCCCCAAACCCAAAGAGGGACAGGAGTCCCTGTGGGGACATTTGTGAATGTCAGGACTGTCAGTATGGTTTCATGCTGTATCGACAACACCCAGTTTTCATACACACATTAGTGTACTGTACATAGAAAAGTTAGCATATTTTTGCAGTTTCTTCGTTTTGCTTAATCTATCCTGGAAATCCTTGTCGGGCAGGTGAGGATTCCTTGGTGCCGGAGGTGCCCACTATAGGGTTCTTAGGTTCCTCCTTCTCTGTTTGAAATTTTTTTTTTGTATATTTTTAATGGTTTCTGGATTTTGCGTCATTGTTAAGAAAGCTGGGGACCCATCTTATAGTACAGAGTTTTGGGAAATTTTAGGCACAGTGTTCTTATTTTTCTACCTTTTCATTCATTGTAATATATTGAAATTGATAAAAAGCAGACATTGCAATGATGCTCATAGTGAGCACCCACTCATAGTGAAGTGTTGATGTTAGTTTGCTAAGAAGACCCTGAAATCACTCTAGAACAGTCATAGAAAATCATTTACCATCTTTCAATTAAAAATGTTTTAAAAAAGAGCAGATTAATTTTGAGCCATTAGAGCAATATAAAGTAACTCTTGTTATGTCCTGACCTCTGAATCGGCAAGGTCCTTTCTGTGACTAACAGGCGCACGGTCTGTGCGATCACCGTTCCTCAGGTACAGAGTGGCCCAGAGCATGGCCAGGCGATGAACCCCATCAGCAGACTCGCCCAGATCCAGCAGGCGAAGAAGGACAAGGAGCCGGAGTACATGCTCCTCACAGAGCGAGGCCTCCCACGTCGCAGAGAGTTTGTGATGCAGGTGGGTTGGTGCGGCCTGTGCACGTCCCTTCTCTGACCTTGTCCCGTCCCACAGCTGGACGAGATCCAGGGCCGGATGCCTTCCCGAGGAGGCCGGGGGCAGCACATCGGGCCAGTGGGCCGCTCCCTGCTGTCCACAGTATCAGGGTTAAGACTATGTTGGCTGCAGGAACTCGGTGCCTTAAAACCTTACTTCTCCATGCACCGCAGGTACTGTTTGTGGGTAGGAGGCTGGACGCAGTGTGTCAAGGTAGAAGAGTGTGGAGTGGTGGGATTGTGGGCAGATTTTTTCTTAAGATTTTATTTATTTTTAAGAGAGAAGGGAACGGAAGGAGAAAGAGAGAAACATTAATGCCTGGTTGCCCCTCGCTTGCCCCCAACAGGGCACCTGGCCCACAACCCAGGCATGTGCTTTAATCAGGAACTGAACCTTCGACCTTCAGTTCCTAGTGTGGCACTCAGTCCACTGAGCCACATCAGCTGGGGCTTGATTTTTTTCCCTTTGTTACATCTATTTGAAGATTTATTATTCTTTTCAGAAGATAACTTTGTAATAGTTACATCAGATGATCTTGTGCTGCTCCTCCTAATCCTTATGTAGAATCCGGAGTCTGGGTGGCTTGTTCTTAGATTGCAGTGACACTTCGGGTAGTGCAGAGGGCTTCTCCCCGTACTTAGTAAACAGATATCCATGTGGGCCGCTTAATTTGTGATTTGAATCTGGTAGTGTTTTCTACCAGGTGAAAACCAGGTTATTTAACTCTTGTGTATCAGCTTACCTCTTAAAGCATCGTCCCTTAGCCTGGTGTGTTTCACATGCCCAGGCAGAAGGCGAGAGGAGTAGTGACCAGTGCATTCTGCCAGAGAGACCTGCTGGTGAGAGAACCCGTAATGGACCCTCCCAAGCTCACTGGCTGGTAGATAGTCAGGATGCAACCCCAGGCCCTCCTCACAAGCCAGGGAAGGTCTCCCTGGTCCTCTCAGTTTGGTGACATGGGGCTTTTGGTTTTGGTCATACCCGCTTGCAAGGGCAGCTCCTGGGTGCCTCTGGGTAGCTTTCTGGCTTCTGACCAGTGCTGGACTCTTTGGCTGGCACATCACTTCCTGATCGATCGGTCTTTACTTTGAAGGTTTAGCACTGATCCGAGTCTGTCTTCTATGTGCAGGTGAAAGTGGGAAAGCACACTGCAGAGGGAACGGGCACCAACAAGAAGGTAGCCAAGCGCAATGCGGCCGAGAACATGCTGGAGATTCTTGGTTTCAAAGTCCCACAAGCTCAGCCCACCAAACCAGCCCTCAAGTCAGAGGATAAGGTGACTCTTTGGGGCTCCGTGTCCTTGCTCTCTATTTTCGAGATGACCTCCTTGCATCCTGGGGACTCTGACACCTCCAGGGCCAAGCTCTGGGGCAAGGCTTGGCCCTTCTGGCCGTGAGGCAGCCCTGTCGAGCGGTGTCTTCTCCATTCAGACCATTGTAAGGTGGTCAGAAGGGGAGTCACCTGTCCACAGTCACAGGAAAGGCTCTGAGTCAAGTTGTTCTTGTTTCAGTGTCTTTGTGGTCCAGGGTGCTCTGCTGGAGGGCAGCTTGCTCCTCTCTGTTGGTGAGATGCTGGGTAATTGGGCTCGACATGAATGAATGTGTGATTCCATCATTTGTGCTCTTAGAATGAGGCCTCCATAAAGTTTGTCATCTCGGGCTTTCATCCGCTGTGGAGCAGGCTTTGGTTTTTCGGGGTGACTGAAATAGCATGACTTTAGAGTCAGGGTCAAATCTGTGGTTTAGACTTGAGGTTTCTTTTATCTTTATAAATTTAACACTAAATAAAAATAACCCCATACTGAAAATTTTACTTCTTCCAAGACTGTTAAGCCGTGCCCCCACCAAGCCTTGCCTTGCCTGACCTTGTCTCCAGTCACCGAGTGCTCCTGCCGGAGTACACTCGCAAACCCGGGGCCGAGGCCTGTACCCCAGTCAGTCATGTCGGCCATGAGGGAGAGTGCCCACTGGGGCTGCTCAGTTAATAAGTAGGACCCCAAACACTTTGCGGAGAATCTGCTTGGATCGTGGACTTGGATTTGGGGTGTTTTATTCCAAAGCCTTGCAGAGCATTCGTAGGCATCCTTACCTTCTCAGAAAGAAGACCTGTGTTCGACAGAATTTTTTTCTAGTAACATTTCCTCCTCAGTTTGTCATCTCTGGAAATGTCACCTTGTTAGCTCCAGGAAGTGTCATTTAGCTTCAGTGGAAAAGCATCTTTCCCCACCGTGGGCTCTACTGATCTCATATCTCCTGGCTCCTGGTTTAATGTTCTCATCTCTTCTGTGCATGCGGATGGAGGCCCAGTGTTTAGGCTGGTGCACCTGCCTTTTGGACAGGCTGGGGCTGGGGTCTGGGGGGCTGTGCTTCTGGGCCTGCTGGGTGGCAGGGGCACACCGGTGGTCAGACTCTGGGAGGAGGGCTTTCTGCACATGGCCTCCTGATCTTTCAAAAGTGTCAAAACCAAGGGTCAATGCTAATTGGAGTTCGTAGCCTTTAGAGAGTAGGAACTAATTTTTCAAGTTTGACTTGTACTCATAACCGCCCCCCCTTTTTTTTAAGACACCCATAAAGAAACCAGGGGATGGAAGAAAAGTAACCTTTTTTGAACCTGGCTCTGGGGATGAAAATGGGACTAGTAAGTGTGATGTTAATATTATCTTGATCTGAATGTGATTGGGGGTTTGCTTGGTTCCTGCTAATAGCCTGTGCCTGTGAACGAGTTTGAACACTTTCAGCTCTGCGTCCTCCTTGTGTCCATGTGTGTGCTGAGGGCGGGCAGGTGGGGGGTGGTTGTAACCCCTTTCGGGGCTGGCAGTGCGTGTGGACTTCTGTTGATTTGTCTACATGTTCCTCCCTAGGCAATAAGGAGGATGAATTTAGGATGCCTTATCTTAGTCATCAGCAACTGCCTGCTGGAATTCTTCCCATGGTGCCCGAGGTTGCCCAAGCCGTAGGAGTCAGTCAAGGACATCACACCAAAGATTTTACCAGGGCAGCTCCGAATCCCGCGAAGGCCACGGTAACTGCCATGATAGCCCGTGAATTGTTGTATGGGGGCACGTCGCCCACAGCCGAGACCATTTTAAAGAATAACATCTCTTCAGGCCACGCACCCCATGGACCTCTCACGAGACCCTCTGAGCAGTTGGACTATCTTTCCAGAGTCCAGGGATTCCAGGTAACTGCTGGACCGGGCTGTGGGGCCTGTACCTTTGAGCAGTTGTCTTTGGGTTTCTCTCAGAAAACGAGCTTCCTACCTTGTTCTAAAGAATTGAGCTCTTTGTCTAGGGGGTGGGTGGGACAAGCGTGGGGAAAGGCCTTCCAAGGAAGGGTGGAGAGGTATGGAATGTATTACAGGCCTGTGTGGTAAGAGAAAACCCTTGACCTTGAATAATAAAAGTTAAAATATCCAGGCCAACGATAACAACAAGGCCTCTGATCTAGTGGTAGTCACAAAGTCAGATTTCGGTGAGAACAGGTTCCTTGTGCTGGCCCTTCCTGCCTGGTAGGAGAGGGTAGGCTTCTTTCAGATCAGGGCTTTTGAGTAGACATTTAGGTTCCTGGAAGGTTCTGGAAGCTGTGGCCATGATCTGCCTACAGCCCCTGGTGCCCCTCAGCAGCAAGCCCCCCCTGACAGTCTTTTGTACTGATGGAGCAGAAGTTGGTGTCCCGTGTCCAGCTGAGACCAGGCTGAGACCCCGGGAGAGGTGTCACTTCCCTCTTTGAGGAGCCCCAGGCCCGTTCTCAGGCACCTCTTCCCGACCCTTCCTCAGTTCTCCTTTCCCCCTTAGGTCGAATACAAAGACTTCCCCAAAAACAACAAGAACGAATTTGTATCTCTTATCAATTGCTCCTCTCAGCCACCTCTGATCAGCCACGGTATTGGAAAGGATTTGGAGTCCTGCCATGACATGGTACGTTCTCCCTCGCCATGGGCCGCTCCGGCCTGGGGCTGGCCCCCGGGAGGTAGCTGAGGGGCTGGTTTCTCACAGATCGAGTATTTCTGGAGAGCTTGTTTCCTAGTTTCCGGGGCTGGTGTCACATCCTGTGTGTGAGCACTTAGCAGCTTTGCACAGCCCCTTCTCGTGCAGTCCCTGGGGTGGGGAGCACCTCCAGGGGCCCAGGTTCAGGCAGCTGTAGAAAGGCCCTTCCTTGGTGTTCTGCTCAGATGCCATTTCCGTTGTAAGAGGTACTGAAACCGAGGACTGCTTAGTGTATGTAAACTTCGGCGCATTCATCCGAGGAGACAGATGCGTCCGTGACATCGATGTCTCCAAAGATGATGTATTCTAACAAGGAGACATGGTCGGGTTTTGCTTTAAAGCCGGATATAAAGTTTGTACAGCCCAGTTATCACAAGGTTAAAAATACTAGCAGGAAATATATAAGAAAATTAACAGGTGATTTAATGATGTAATTTATTACAGAGATAATTTATTTTTCAAAATTGAAAATTCAAAGATTAAAGGAGGTTATTTAGTGGGACCACCTGCTTTGCCGGGCCGCAGGAGGTGCCCCGCCTCTAACCAGTGTCTTGCACAGTGGCCCCAAGCAGTGGCCACAGCCTGACCTCTCTTTCGTCCCCTGCTAGGCTGCACTGAACATTTTAAAGTTGCTGTCTGAGCTGGACCAACAAAGCACAGAGATGCCAAGACCAGGAAATGGACCAATGTCTGTGTGAGTGAGCCGATCTGCATGGAAAGGCAGTTCTGTTCCTTGTTTGCGTTAAAATTCAAACTGGTCAACGCAGTGGTGAGACACTTTGCCTCAGTCACTTCCTGTCCCGTTCCCCGGATAGCTTTGCACGTTTGGGGCAGAGAGCTCCACTTTTTCAAAAGTTTTGAGTACCGTATTTTGCCATGGATAATGTACACTCACATTTTTGGCCCAGACTTTGAGGGGGGGAAATCTTGCATTTTAATTTTTTAATTCAGTCATTTATGTATCTATATTTACGAACAAAACCAGCTATTGTGTTCCATGCTATTACTTTGCATATGAATATCATTATTACTCTCTAGAGTCATACTTTGTTTAAAAAGATTTTTTTGTTTATTTTTAGACAGTGGGGAAGGGAGGGAGAAAAAGTGGGAGAGAAACATCAATGTGTGATTGTCTCTTGCACGCCCCCTACTGGGGACCTGGCCCACAACCCAGGCATGTGCCCTGACTAGGAATTGAACCACAACCCTTTGGTTCTCAGGACAGCGCTCAATCCTGAGCCACACTGGCCAGGGCTAGTTACACTTTTAATGCATAAGCATAAATAAAAGAATCAACATTTATATAGATATAGAAATAGAATTAGCACTACCCATATATAATATGTATCCTTATTTTTTCCTAAAAAAATCCAGACAAAAGCTCTGGCTGGTGTGGCTTAGTGGGTTGAGCACTGGCCTGTGAACCAAAGGGTCACTGGTTCGATTCCCGGTCGGGGGACACGCCTGGGTTTCTGCAGGTCAGGTCTGCAGTTTGGGGGTGTGAGAGGCAACGACACACTGATGTTTCTCTCCCTCTCTTTCTCCCTCCCTTCCCCACTGTCTAAAAATAAATCAAATCTTTAAAAAAATAAGTTTGGGCAAAAAAATGCACATTATACATAGCAAAATACGATACTTAATGTATTCACGATTCCAAATCAAAATTATTTTAAAAGGTGAGAAAGAAATGCTGCCCTCGTACAGTCCGCTGTCGCCTCATTCTCCCCCCCCCCCCCCACAGCACGCTGTGTGCACCCCCCCATGCTTTCTCCACTGGACAGCACACCTGGGGCTGGGCTGTAACCCAGTGACCATAAGCTGGGTCCTGTGCTGTGGGGCTCTCGGTGCCTGCAAATTTCTTTGAACATGGGTTTAATTCTCTTCATTTCAAACTAGCGTCATTTTCTTTTTTCCTTTTTTTCCCCCTTTCTTAAAGGTGTGGGAGGTGCTGAACCTCTTCTGGTCATGAACCGTTATATAAACTTCCCAACAGATACTGAAAATCCTGAGACTGCTTTTGAAAATTTGGAATTTCTGATACCTCGAGTGGGCCGAGAGACGCGATGGGTAAAGAACTGGAGACAGCAGTGGTGACAGAGGCTGAGGCTGCTCGCATGTGCTGTGGTTTGTCCCCACACGGCAGCAGCTGCTGTGGGGGAGGTTGGGACCTGCCAAGCAGCCCTTAATTGCAAAACCAGCAGGTCCCTGCCCCTGGCACTTCAGTGCTTGGGTTTTTTTTTTTTTTTTTTTTTTTTTCCTGTGTGAAAGAAGGAAGCAGAAAGCAGGACCCCTTCTCAGACCGGCTAACACACTTCGGGACAAACCCTGGACACCCACGCCGAGAGAGGCCTTAGACCGGCCGGCCCAGAGCTGCGAGCACCAGAGGAAAATCAGATGCTTCCCGCTCGGCACGAGCTAACCTCCCTCGCTTGCCACAGCTCCCCACCTCCCGTGGTACTCACCTGTCACCACTGCTTTCTCTTCCAAAAGAGATACATATTCTTAGTTGTATTATTTTCTTTGGATTGAAATGACACTATAAATTTTCATTTGAGTTTCTCAATTGTATCTAGTTACATAGCACAGTTTAGAAACTTATGAGACTTTATCAGTAACTTAACCGGCAGAGATTAAACCCCCTTTTATTCCATTGGACTAACCCAGGACCATTTCAGTGATGGAGACTGTGCCCTTGGTTTGGCTGGAACAGTCCTGGACTTCACAGAGCCCTTGGTGAAGCGTCCCACAGGTGTACAAATTGGACAATTTAGGAATTTTAAACTTTAAATGATCATTTGGCTCCTTTTCTATTTCATTTTTGTTAATGCAGCACAACTTAAATGAACTTTGCTCTCTGTTTTAAAGATTATTGAAATCGTGTGTACATACATATGGCTCTTGAGAACACAGCTTTCGCTACACTACAGGGTGTGGTCTCCATGTGGTCCATACGGAACTGCAGGCTGGTGTTCCCGAGTGCTTCATACTGTTGATTGCATCTCCATGTAGGGCTGAAAAGAACGACCCGTGCATATCTCTGAAACTGTTGCTTTTGGTGTTGTGTTACTGCGCATGGAAGTGTGTGCGGTAAGGTCCTGCCCACAGTCCAGCTGGAAAGCACCGGTAGCCTTGCGAGTTAAGTACTGCTTCGATTCATTGTTTACGCCGGAATTTTTTGTCCCCATGGAATGTAAGTAAAACGTAGTGTTTGTCACCAATAAATGGTAATACTAAATTTTTTTGTTAATTTATTCTCAGATGCCACTACTGCTAGGTTGGGTCCCCTCCCAACCTGCCCCGTCCTTTTTTTAAGAAAAGAAAATTTGTAATGCTTGTGATTCCATTTGGGCAAAATTCTGAAGACCTGAAATTTGTATCTGTTGATCAATAAACATCTAATGCATTTTTTGGTCCTGTCGAGCAGTAACTGAAGGGACGATGTAAGGGCACAGAAGCACGATGTGGTGGGGGGCATCACTGCCATGGCACGTGGCCACCGGGTGAAGGGACATGCCTGTCATCTGAACCTGACACCCAAAGAATGACCTGGAGGAGACTTCCCGACACCTCGAGTCCCTTCCCGTCCTCTGGTGCTCTCAGGAGTAAAGGTGAGGCATTGCTTTCTAGCCTGGCTGAGGAAGGGCTAGTGACTGTCTCTTGATTTTAGAGGATGATAAGACCAGCCTGTGGATTGGACTGGTGGAGTAACAGAAGGGATCGGAAAGTTAGGGAAAAATGCTGAGGAGTAGGGGGGATTCAACGCTACAGGCATAAAAGCAGTGAAAAGAGGACATTTTCCTTTGCCAATCCTAGATTTAGTCATTTCTCCAAGGAGCCCTGGTCCCTTTAGTGACGGATGGCATTTAAAAAGCAAGATCTGGGTGCTGGGAGCACTCACTGCTACTGGGCTGTTGTTTCCAGGCCCTCTGAGCTTGGACATAGGAATTATGTACATATATGTGTATATGCAGGAGTTGGCAGAGACAGGTTTACAGTTCATATGGGAAATAACAGTATTAATACAAGAATAAGCTTTTGCATACTCACAAGTGTCAACCTACTTTTGTCCACCCCAGTACATACGTGTACACGTTTATTTATTTGTACATATATTTAAAAGCCATGTATTCATACTGCTACCTCCAGCAACCATGAGTTCTTCACTACTTTTCTGTTTTCGGTACTTTCTGCAACACGGAGGTTGTAGCCAATCTCCCAGCACTGCCAACCATGTTCTCCTTTTGCCGCCTACTGTGCCCGTCCTTGTGGTCTTGCGATCTGTTGAGGGCACACTGCCCCTGCCCCTGTGTGCACACCGGCGACAAGTTTAGAAGTATTTGTGAGAGCTTCCTATGGCTGTTTTCACTTGGCCCTCATTGACTGCAGTACAGAAGTGACAATTTGCACTTAACATGAGGATGCTGGGAAGGATTTCTGGGTTCCTTCGATAAGAGGTTTTCTGAAGGTGATACATCTTTGGCTGCTTTGGGGAGAGGTCCAGATGGAACGTCCTTCAGTGTTCTGACTGTAAACTCAAACTTGCCTCTGCTCAGGCCCCACAGCTGCCGTCTGTGGAGGGCTCACTCAGTCTGCGGTACCTTTTGTCTCCACAGGCTTTGAGAGTGTTGCATGGGAATGCAGTCTGCACTGTGTCTTATCCCAACATGATCTCTCTCAGGTGCGGGGAGAATCCTTTGAGCCCAAACGATACTCCTGCCCTTGGGAGAGCAGATGCAGTCTTTATGTTTGTAGAGCACTGGTCTCCCTGGCAGAGGCTCCTTGTCATCCGAATGACTGACGGGCTTGGGAGTCTCTCACCCCATGGTGGTGTGCTGACACTGTCAAGTTCCTCTTAGTCACAAGATGTTGACGAGTGAAGATGATTTCCCTATAGCTGGGTTTGTTGTTTTTTAAAGTCTTGCAAATTGTCGCTTCTGAATCTCAGTTTCTTGCTACAGTGCGCTGAGCTAATGTGCGTGGTTTTTGCAGGGCAAATGCCCAGTGACAGACATTTTGGTCTGGATTCCAAGGTCTCATGGGGTAGGAAGGAGTCTGGAATGGTGACCAACGGGAAAGGAAACCAGCTGTTCCCGAGCACTATGCAGCTGCAGCTGTGCAGGCACTAACGTGAGCTCAGGAGAAGGTGACTTCCAGGGGAGAAACCCAAGGACAGAGGTGTGCAGCATTTTGTTTGCATGCACCTTTAGAAATTTCCATAGCCATCATCTTGGGTTTTAGTGCCTAAAAGCCTGTGTGCCCTTAAGACAAAACACAAAAGAACACACGTTGCTTGAAATTTCTGGATTGGCAGGGAGAAGTTAGCTAATAGGCTTTTAAAGAAATGTGTTTCTGAGAACCAGTGGCTAACTCAAAGATGGGAGGTGGTGGAGTTTCCATTCCTGAAATCAGCAGTTATTTTCTTACAATGTGTCATTTTGTGTATAGAATATACATGTGAAGCTAATTCATATTCTGCTTTGTACTTTGAACAGCATTCCCAGTTTTATTAGCAAAAATTGTATGTAATTTAGGAAATTTATACTGCTTTGCTTAATACTTGCTTAATCCAAATTTAATATTCTAAAAATACTTCCTTTGTACATTCTTCTACAAATATTCAGCAAAATCTTTGATGGAAATACCCACTAGTCTTGCAAGGACAATAGGAAATAGTAGTCTTTGTGCAGAGGCAGTTTTTTAAATGACTTACATTTCAGAGTAAGTTGCAAAGAGTTTGGAATTGTGCAGCACACACTTGGAGTGTCCATTCTAAAGGTTGGGAGTGCTGGCCCCGCCCTGCCTTGCCACAGGTGCAGCAGCAGTGGGAGTCTCTGACCTTGGACCTTGCTGAGGGATCAGGGGACAGTTCCTTCTGTTGTAGAGTAAGGCTTTGTCAGAATCCCGAGTAACTTCTTCAGATTTGTCAAGTACCTTTTTGTTTTGTTGTGTATTTATTCTTGGTCTTGTCCCAGGTCACTGACACTTTTTTCTGTTTTGGATTTTCTGCTACCTTGCCTTCCACATTGCTGACTTGACCCTCTGCTTCACCTAATCTGTGGTTGATTCCCTCTAACGTATTCATTTCTGACTAGGTTTTTTGTTGTTTTCATTTGGTTCACCTATTTCCCCCCTAAGCTCATTGAGAACTCTTATAGCCATGTTTCGACTTTTTATTGTTCTGTCCTTTGGGACCAGACTGTCTTATTGTGGCTGACTACCATGCTCGTTTCTGTGTCAGGTCGATCTGCTACATCTGCCAGTCTCGACAGAGTAGCCTTATGTTAGTATGTGTCTGTGACGCCTAGTGGGTTAGTCTCTCTGGTTGGGGGAGCCTGGTGCTCCGGAAGCACCCCACCCCTTGTGCAGGCTGTGCGCCCTCCTGTTGCCGCCGAGCCTTGACTGCTGTTCGCGTGTTGGTGGGTGGGACTGACCCTCCAGCTGATGAGTTGTGAGACTCCCAGTTGTTATGTGGGAGTCGATCCCATGAAGCAGAAGTTGCTTTAGCGGGGTTCTGGTTCTAGCCAAGTCCAGGTGTGTCGTTTGTGCAGCTGTTCAGATGTGGTCTGAAGTGTCTCAGGAGGGGCTCCAGTGCAGGCCAAGGTCAGCTGTTGTTCATAGGGCACATAAGGGACCTGCAGTTGGTTGTGCTGGGTTTGGAGGCTCCTGGGAGAGGCTCTGCTGCAAACCGAGGTCAGCTGTTACTAGTGCTGGACTTGGGGCCTCCTGATGGGAGTTACCACACCCTTTGGGAGGGATCGCTGTTTGTGCCAGGCTTGGGGTCCAGGGTACAAGTGAGGACAGACAACTAACTCCTTGTTGGGAATCTGTGGATAAAGGCCTCAGCACCCATGGAGGAGGTTGCTTATGTGGAAAAGCTGCTTGGTTGCACCAGTTTGGGGGGGAGGGGTGTCTCTGAAACAGAGGCCCAGGGGCAGAGTGGAGATCAGTGAAAGGTCAGTGGAGAGATTAGAGGGGCGCTAGCTCAAGTTGCCATGGAGGAAGCAGTGGTGCTGTTCGGCCCCTCCAACCCTCACCCCAAAGCTAGTCAGTTCAGTCCCTCCCCGTAGGACCCTGGGACATTTTGAGCTGATACCCTGGGCTGGGGCATCCAGTGGGGGGCTGGTATCCCTCACCCCTCTGGGGGGGACCCTTCCACAACCAATACTGCTCACGTGGATGTGCCTCCTACCACTCTCACCCTGGTTCTTTATACCCTTAAGTAAGAGGAATTTCGTTCAGTTAGTTTCCAGGTTTCTGGTGGTGGTTCTGTAATTCAGCTGTAACTTGGATGTGGTCATGGGAGGAGGTGAGCAGGTTTACCTACTTCACTGTGTCACAAGTCCTTGCCAGCTATGTCTGGGAGTGGCAGGCCTGGATGTCTTCTTGGCTGACATTTGCTGCAGAAACCCAGAAGCAGTAATCATTTTCCCCTCAAGACGCAGAAGGGTTGACTCAGACTGCAAGGTGGACATTTTCCTGGTCCAAGGTAAATACAAACCTCCATCAGATCTGGGAAACCTTTCCACAGACTTTATCAAGTTTTTCTCTCCCATCATCCAATTAACTTTACAAGGAGGAAAGCCAGGAATAGGTCAGTGAGTTCAGGGCTGCTTTCTCCCAGCACTAGCTTTACCACCTGGCGTGCAGCAACCCCAAAGAAGGGTTGTTAATGTTCCCTTGTATCAGGGAGCACCAAAAACCTGTTCTTGAGCGGTTCTTAGATACATAAAGTTTGGGTTGTTAATGTTCCCTTGTATCAGGGAGCACCAAAAACCTGTTCTTGAGCGGTTCTTAGATACATAAAGTTTAGGGCTCTTTTTATTGCTGATTACAGATTTAAAACTATGTAATGTGCACTTCTTGGCAAGTAATACAAGTGATTTACATTACAAATACTTACGGAAACACGAAAATACAAAGGACAAGAAAACCACAAATTGGCATCAGCCTCAAAACAAAAGGATTTAGTAACAGGAAAAAAAAATGTCTCCACAGTTAAGTGTCTTGTCAAAAATTTTAAATTACCTGAACAGTGCAAATGCTCAACTCAGTGTCATATACTGAATTATTAGTACTTGTTCCTTGAAGCAGCAAATTGAAAAAGTTAACCACTTTTTATGATCACACAAACCACCTAAATTGCTCAAGGTTTAGAATAAAGCAACATTTAATATTTTTTAAAAGATGGAACTAGTGACACATTCAAAAAGAAAAGTTGCTTTGTTTTTAAGCAGCTGTGTTCAGAAGCCTACCAACTTTCCTCAGAAACGTCCTGGGCTTTATTATTAGTCAAACTGCAGATCAAAGCAGTGTCACACTGGCCGCCTGAAGGTACCCTTGGAGGTACTGGAGCGCTTCTGCATTGAGGCTGGTGCTCACCATTGACGGAACCTACAAGAGACAGGAAACGCACAAACCTGATCTCTACCTGAACGATGGAGAGTGCTGCACCTGTTACAGGAATTCCCAAGTAACCCAACTACTTTCATGCCTTCAAAAATGAACAGGTTTAATAAAAAATCGATCCGTAAGGCGTTACTGTTGTTCACCATGGTAGAGGCAATGTGGTTATGTTTTTTAAAAAATCCTTATGTGATGCATAATGTAATAATACACTAGGGGTAAAATGACATGCCACCTAAAACTTGCTAAAAAAAAGAACAAGATCAGAAAATGGTTACTACTGAAGGTTAGCACATGAGGGTACAGTGTGCTGGTTCTATTTATTTTTTGAAGTTTTCCATAATAAAACATTTAAATATATAAATTTATCTTAAGACTCTCAAAAGTGATAGTAATGGTTGTATGGTTGTTCCATTAGCCAAGTATTCTGTTATTTGAGTGTGCTTCAGTTAAAGAAATACCTGCATTTTAATATTACAAGGATTATTTCAATCTGGGGGAGGGGGGAACATTTCTAGTCAAAGGGCTTTATCCCCTGATTTACTGCTAAAATTATTCCCTTAAAATATTTTTGTAGTCCATCATGTTAGCTAAAGACAAACAAGCCTTGAGTACTGCTCTGCGGGGTGTTAGATCCTGCTGAGCAGTGAAAACAGGCACCAGAACAACTGCCACCCCCCACCGTCCCGTAAACATCTTTGACAGCGAAGACACTCACCCTTCCTGGACACGCAGTAGACAGTTTGTGAAGTGACTGTGCCAAGTGAATCTTGGGGTTGGACACCATTGGACCTACAGGATCATGCTCTTTTTTCCCAGCAAATGCCAACTGTGAGAAGGCAGTCTGGTATCCTGGTGTATCTTCTATGTCAATAAAATGTTCTTCATCAGGAATGGAATCATCTTCAGGTAACTCAAAAAGGCCAATCAGAGACTGCAGTAAAGGAGTCCTGGATTAGAAGAAAGCAAAACAAAACAATTCCTTAGCAACAAAAATTACTCACAGTCTCAACAGTACTGAGGGACCACTGAAATTAAGATGGTTATCCTGGCTGGTGTGGCTCAGTGGATTGAGCGCGGGCCTTCGAACCACACAATCATGGTTCGATTCCCAGTCAGGGCACATGCCTGGGTTGCGGGCCAGTTCCCAGAAGGGAACTCACAAGAGGCAACCATACATTGATGTTTCTCTCCTTCCCTTCCTCTCTAAAGACAAATAAATTAAAAAAAAAAAAAAGTTATCAGTGCATATGGCTATCCACAAACAGCTTTCAATTCTTCTTTCAAACAGCACCCCAATTACTCTTTGGTAAACGACTCTACCCCAGACCTTCCAAGCTGGCTGTGTGACCTAGGCCTGACTAGTCAGAAGGCTGTGTGACTCAAGCCAAATGAAGAGTAAGAGCTAGAAGTCAGAAGTCAGCCTCAAGTTGTCAGATTACTTTACGGAAGGGCTGCTTGAGAGAGGCAAGAGGTCAAAGAAAGCCAGGTCTGCTGGAAACTAAGCACACACATGTAAGACCTGTTCACCTTCTCTTGAGACTGAAGCCAGTTTATTGAGCACCTATTATTAAAAAAACTCTTAGAAATCATCAAGAACAGAGACTTTTACCAGACTCTCAAGGGGTTCATGAATTCCTTCTCCCCAAAAAGTTAATCAGGAAACAAGATCATAGTCTGCCCACAAGGATCCATAGGTCATGTACTGGACCTGATGGTTGCCAGTGGAGGAGCAGAAATCAGAACCCAATTCTCCTGACCCTTCAGAGTAAGCTGGGTTGATTCTGCAGTCATAGTGAAAGGAAGCCATAATTTCTAAGAATTTTAGAATGGGGTACTTGCCATAGTTTGGTATACTCAGTGTCCATCATCGGGGGACATTCTGTTAGTAATTTGGTTATGCCAACTGCACAAATCTTTTTCTCTACGTTTCCAGACACTTTTTGAATTTCAGGAATAATGATTTTTTCCAAAACCATTCCAAACATTCTGTGAAAAAAAAAACCCAATCAACATTAAATTAGACTACCACTCCAACTGTTAAACACTTATTAGATGTTTTTTATGCTCACTGACTCCATATGAACATAAAACACAAAGAACAAGGCTGCAATGATGGAAGAGACTTGGAGGTGGCAAAGCATCAAACCTCTACCCTGTGGCCAGTCACCATCGTCTGGCTTCAACCTCTACAGCCATATTTTTAAAAATAACTTTTAAGACTAAAAAATTAGGAAAAAGGATTAAGCAACATCAAGAAAAAAAGAATCACTCACCACCTGGCAATAATTAGTTTTAATACTTCTGGATAATAAACTTCCCAATTTATATGCCTATATACCTGTACCTGTAAATGTTAATGGCTACAGTAAAAAGATGATTTAGCCAATCATTCTACACTGTTGCACACTCCTAGAATGCAAATGTCTCAGACTACACAAGCTAATAAATCCCTTGATGTGGAAATAGGGGGCATCAAAGAATAAGGACATTTTAATATTCTACAGAAAGGGCTTTTTGCTCCACAGAAAGAGTGCTGCCAGTTAAACACCTACTAGCACTGTGTGAACTGCTGACTTCCTCACAATCCTTTGTTAGTTAGAAAGCCTATTTTCTGATACTGCTCTTCAGGTTAATTAGTTTTCAGTACATTTTATTGATTATGCAGTTACAGTTGTTCCATTTTTTTCCTTCCCTGTATCCTCCTCTGCCCTGCATCTCCCCTCCCTCCAGCATCCTCGTCTTTACTTCATGCTCATGGGTCATACATATGTCTTTTGGCTTCTCCGTTTCCCATACTATTCTTAACTCCTCCTGTCTATTTTCTACCTACCAAATATACTTCTTAGTCCCTGTACCTCCATTCTCCCCGCTCTCTGCTGATAACCCTCCATGTGATCTCCATTTCTGGAACTGTTTCTGTTCTAGTTGTTTGCTTAGTTTCTTTTGTTTCCTGTTCAGGTGTTGAGTTTGTTGTCATTTCTACTGTTCATAGTTTTGATCTTTTTCTTAGATAGGTTTTACATTTATTCACTCTGGAATTTTTTGGTTTCACTATAAAGAGATCTAACATGAGTTCTTCTCCAGCCTCTATCATTTCTTTATACCCTTCCCTATTAAATGGGGAGTGGCACTCAGCCACATTCTTTGCATGCACACCAAGCAGTCTTATTGATGCAAACTTTTCAAATACTATGCTATCACTGCACCAATAACTGAAATCATGTATAAAATAGACATTGGTTTATGCTAAAGTCCAATTTTTCACTTTTAAAAATAAAATATAGCCCTGGCTGGTGTGGCTCAGTGGATTGAGTGCCAGCCTGCGAACCAAAGGGTTGCAGGCCAGGTCCCCAGTGGGGGGGGGGGGCGGCGCATGAGAGGCAACCACACATTGGTGTTTCTCTCCCTTTGTCCCTCCCTTCCCCACTCTCTAAAAATAAATAAATAAATCTTTAATATAATAAATAAAAACAAACTTACTTTGGTTGTATACCATCAAATATTTCTTGTAGTGCCAGTGCCCCGTATTTTATGCAATACAAATTAATAAAGACTAAGAAACCTGTTGAAAGAAGATGCAAATTATCAATACAGAGGATGCACTGCACTGAGCAAGTGATGTAGTAGAAGCCTGCCAGATGCCTAAGCATCAACACCTGCCTTCTCATACAATTAACACAGAATTTCTGCCTTTATAGCGCAAGCATAGTCTACATGCAGTCCCTGACTTATTTTCTTCATTGTATTTCTGTTAAACATTTTGGTATCTAAACATAAACTAACCTTTGGAACACAATATATTGGAAACTGATTTAATGTTTGGGGAATACAAACATCTTAATGTATTTTATAGATAACACTTATAACTGATGAAAGGGTTACTACATGTAACCATAATGCCTAGGGGTTTTAGCTACTTTCCTTCATTATTTCTGCAGGAACACCCAAATGGTCTTACTTACTCTTTATAAACTTTGTTGTTTTGGAATTCTGAAGTCTTTGGAATAGTAGAATGAAGATTTGCTTCCTGTATTGGTCAACTGATTCACTAAAGATTTGAATAAAAGCAATAATATAATTCAGCATTTTTGAGTACCTAACAGAATCCTTGATTAATTTACAACAAGGTTATATAAACAAACTCACGGAGGCATGTGCTCTATTATGCTGTTTAGAAGATAAAAACCTTGGTGGTCATTGGCTTTGGATGCAATGAGCTTCTGGAAAACACCTAATAACCCAGGCTACAACAAAACAGATCAAATATTAATATTAACCAGTGAAAGAGGCAAGGATTAATTATACCTAAAGTTAAACAGGTCATGTAACTTGGAAAAGAGCACATGTAATAATCTAATTAGTAATTTCTGAAGTGTAGAGAAAAATAATGCCACCACAGTGAGACCTTAAAAGTTCTTGAAATTAACCTGTTTGGCTCTTAATTTTTAAACATCTGCCACCCACATCCAAGTAAGTCCGACTCACGATTTTGTCGGCCGCAGTGCTCGCTATCGTGCTGGACCCACGTTCCAGGAACGCCTGAAGCAGCCTCACCAGTGCAGGGATATTGCCTGTTCTTTCCCAAAGCACTGGCTGAAGGAGGTGAGGAAATAAGGCCATGTAGGAAGACGGGATGTCATTTTTATGTGTTTCCAGAAGCAAAGACATCACTTGAAAGACATAGGGAATGAACTCTGTTGAGGAAGTAAAACAGCCGTCAGCTTCCGAATCGGTGGCTCTGCCACCAAAGGTCCCCATCTGTTACAAAGGCTACATTTTATAACCACTCGAATGACCTTGTTCAATCAGGGAAAACAACCACCCCCTTTGACTTACCTTGTACATCGTTCTGTAAAATGTCAGTAAACACCAGAAACAACGCCTCTTCAAAACTGACAACAGCAGCAGGGTTGGCTTTGCACGTTATTCTTATGGATAAACATATAGCTTCAAACATGTAGTGATTAAAGTGGGGTTTGCTTGGGTTCTGAAATTTTTTGAGAAAAGGCATATTATTCTAATAATCCAAGTGACTGTATTTACTGTCACTGAGAATAAAACACCTAACCCTTCTAAAACATTAAAAAAGATGCCTTGTTTTTAAAAATCAGTATTAAGACTACCAATGACAATAATTGACTATAAAATTCAGGAAATAAAGCAATACTTGTTAATACCTATTTGTTTGGATTTCTTCTTTCAATGAGCAAAAGTCTGCTACAAAAATGTACTGGGTGTGGCTCGCTGGATTGAGCGCGGGCTGTGCACCAGGGGCTCGCTGGTTTGGTTCCCAGCCAGGGCACATGCCTGGGTTGTGGGCCAGGTCTCCAGTGGGGGCGACATGGGAGGCAACCACACATTGATGTTTCTATCCCTCTCTTTCTCCTTCCCTTCCCCTCTTTCTAAAAATAAATAAAACCTTTAAAAATAATTTTAAAAAAGCACTTGAGAGTCCCAGGGAGGTGACAGCATGAGCCTCGGCTGCCTGTGCTGTGAGGGTCTAGTCTTGAACCCACGCACTCCCGTGCAGTCACCGTCAGCAGCAGAAACGAGCAGGGACGCACACTACGGCCCTGCCACTAGCCTCGTGTGGGACCTTAGGTAAACTGTTAACGACTACAGGCTTCACGTCCCTGTCTGCAGAGTGATGGCCCCTGGCAGCACTTTCCCAAGAAGGCTACTACACCTGGCTGATAAGCTCAGGAGGTGAGTACGGGGAGTGGGAGGGGCGGGCAGGGACCGTGAGGGGTGGTCCCCTGCGTCTCTTCTCTCTCAAGCTCTGAGACCCAAAGTAGCCTGAGACCCTCACCAGACCTCTGTGAAAAAAATAATCACTGTTCTCTAAAATCCCTCTAATACTGCCTATGAATTTATCTCCTTTTCATAGTTATTAGGTATAAGAATCCAAAAAGAAATTTTGTCAGTCTTAAACTGATTTTTTTATTATCTAAAACTTAAGAATGTTTAAATAGGAATCAAAATATGTGTTAAACTCCGGATCAAAGGAGCAGTGAACAGCCTCTTTTGTGTCCACTTGGTACAACTTTGGTCCACTTTCCTAAGATCACTTCATATTACTTGAACATTCCCAATTTCCTTCAGTGAACATGTTACTTGAAATTAAGGATAACAACGTTTTAATGTTTCTGAGCCCATACTTTTTAAAGGTGAGTGCTGCCACACCTCCCATCCGCCGTCATCCCCATTTTCAGGAACGTACACGAACTGCGGGGTCAAGAAGAATCCAAAGAGCTTTTTCCTAAGTCTGACCTACTGCAGGGAGTGGCTCACACAATCCCGACACACAGTTTAGAGCTGTACTTTCAAAAGTGGTTCTGTTACCTTACTAACAGCTAACAGCTTCTGTGTAAGCTGAGTGATGAGAGTAGGGATGTAAGGGATTATGGCTTCTTGTAGGAGGGAAAAACTTCTCATGATAGCTGTAAAATACAAAAACAGCAAAAACAAATAGTTTAGTTAAAATTCAGAACAGAACACTGGGGGGGGAAAAGTCCACTGATTCGTCAACCAAAATTTCCTGACCCTTAAACCCCAGGTACTTCTCTACATTTAAAATCTAAATTTCCCTTCTTTTAAAAATCAGGCCAAGGACTGACAACAGAAGTTAGCTGGAAAATAATATTTCCAGAGGGCATAAACCTTAAAAAAAAAAGGGACAGCCAAAATAAATAAATAAATAATGAAGTGACTAAAGAGGCAGAGAAGTAATGGCACTGTTTTGAGTCTTTTTCGCTGAGAAGTCAGTGGCAGAAAGTGTTCAGTCCTAGCCTATTGGGAACATGACTGCAGCCTCCTGGAAACGGAAAGAGAAGGCCACATGCCTCTTCCCCAGCCCCGAAAAAAAAAATTTGAGATTAAGAGCACAAGAAAAACCCAGAGATAAGTATAAAGCTTTGGAGGGCCCATACTGCAAAAATATTGATTAAAAAATGCCTACAATCATTTAGCATGGGAGGTAAAAACATTAAGCTAAAAATGTATAATAGCCATTTCTGCACAAACGGAATACTAAGCAGAACACCTACTGTATGCCAGACACACAGGACAGAACGTTATCCTCTCTGGTCTCCTCACCTTTGCAACGACGTTTCCTCTCTCTGAGCCAAACCTCACACTTCAACTATCTAACTGCTACCCAGCCCTCACGCCTCAGCTTAGACACCACTTCCTAGAGAAAGCCTGTCCCGAGCCAGGTTAGGGAGGTTAGTGGGTGGATCGCTGTCCCTCCTCTGGGCTGACACACAGCCTTTCATTTACTCCTGTAAGAGTGTTTACTGAGAAGTATTACGTCCTGGGTGTTCTTGCTTATCCTATGAAGACAGCAACAAAGACCAAGGGCTAGTTAGTTGCCTCACAGAGATGGACATTAAACCCTAGTCATTGCACATCATTGCTGGGAGAAGTACAGTGCTGAAAACACACACACAAATGCATGTACACACACACACACACACACCCCAGGGGTCCTGACCCAGAACGGACATCAGTTTCTATGATCCGACACCGTGCTAGTCTCCTGGGATGTGGCAGTGAAGGCGACTGTGATGGGTCCTGAAATCTGAGACAATCTCACTGCAGTGCCTGGCAGACGGTAGTAGCTGCCTGCGTCCGTGGCACTACGTCCCTGGAGCAGGATCTGTGTGGCGTCTATCAAGTGTGCCCAGGTCTCCCACCAAGAACTAGCGCAGCATGCCATCACTGGGTGTTGTCTGATCTAACCTTTGCCCTCGAGAAATTCAGTCTAGGGAAGGAAAAGAGGAGTTTGCCACTTTTTCTTTAGTAAGAAGAGCTCTGTATCAAATTAGGTAAAACTCTTTCTTGCAAATACTATTAATAGTAAAGACAACAATGTTCTTCGTTTAGAAATCTCTAATCCTAGCTAGTTCTTAGGCAGCGGCATACAGCTCAGTGTTCGCCCTTGCAGTCAGAGATGAGACACTTGTGTTCTGTGCACACCGGGGAGCGGCCTACCTTTCATAATATATTCATTTTCTGAAGAGCCAGGAAGTGTGAGAGCTTTGAAAAGGTTTGTTAGCAGAATCTCAACAAACGGTGCGATTTCTGCAGCTGTAAAGCTATAGATGAAAAAACAGCTTTCAGTCACTGCCAACCCTTGAGCTTGTCACTCTGGATTACCCTTGGCAACTACTAAGTCACACTTCTTGGCATAAAAGTGAGCCATCTCCCACCACTGACAATCGACAGCTTAGGAAAATAATTTTTTCTATGAGTGTATGTTAAATTCCTAAGAAGACATGTCTAAGACCAATCATAATTAAGCAAACCAAAACCTGAGCAAACCCAACATCATCTAAAGCTGTTAAGGTCACTCTTGGTTCATAACACTATTGAGACCAAACTCAAAACTCCCAGGGGGCTCAGTCACCTATCTCCCTGGAGGTGGAGCAGGTTTAGAACTGTTTTTTGCATAAATTCTAGTCCTGAAGACAGATACTGGCTTGATTCACCTCAACGAATGTCCTTTCAACCCTTATTGGCCTCTGGGAATACCTGCACTTCAAGTTCTGGATGAAGAGAACCTAGAATGTTTTCCATCTCTTACCCGAAGCTCAGTTTCAAGAAATAACACTGTTGAAGAATGGCCTGAAAGACATGCAGACCATCCACTCCTCTACAGTCCGGCCTGCATCAGGCCAGAAAAGCAACTACCTTGGGCCCTAGTGTGTCCTATCCCAGCACTGATTCAAACCGCCAGGGGAGGTAACTGCACATGCGGCCAAAGAACATGCTGCTACACACTCCCTTCCTGAAGGCCGACTTCTCAGGTGCCTCCTGAGTTAACAATTTTGACTGGAATCTCATGGAGACTGAAAATTTTAACTCGCCAAATTTCTCTCTCTGCTTTTGTTGCTAGGAGACTCCATGTAAAATTCAAGAGTTTCTTTAACTACTGTACAGGATCCTGACACACATTTCTGCTTATTGTATGAAACGCACCCTAGTTATTTTCCTTTGCTTGAACTTCCTCTACTTAACTTACTATAATGTGTCTATTTTGGCATGCTGCCTCAAATCCTTTCAGATTGAGACAGTATAAATGAGTAAAAAGTACACATTAATTTTTCTAACTACTAATGAAATACACTTGGAGACATCCCTGACCGGTATGGAACACCCACCCCAAGATGAAAAAACAAACTCCTTAGAATCCAATACTTACAGAGCGGCGTGGTTAGGCCCCCTCATGGTGAACAGCCGCTCCAGAGCATGTGCTGCGTAAGTATGAACAACGATACTTTCAGCTTGAAGATGATTTATCAAGAGAGGAACAGAGACTAAAAGCTGCTCTTTTGGTACCTGAAAAACACAATAATATACACGCTCTTAACTCAGTGATGCTAACTTTGAGTAAAAGACAGCAGGAAGGGTTTGCTGATTCTAAAAAGTGTTCTTTCAGCTGTTACAATGGAAAATGATGGGGGTGAAAAACCTAAACTTCTACCCAACACAATGGTTCAATTCAGTTCCCATTCACGTTTCCAGTCCTCTTTCTCAGAGCACACTGAGCATACACACTGCGAGGGGGGTAAAATCTTGCATACCACAGAAAAATATCACGGACAGACTAAGATTTCATTAATCTTAATAACTATACTTTTCTCCAATGGGCGCTTCTTGGAAAACTTAGTCAAGCTTTGTGCCTCATTTTCTCTTCTATAAAAAGGGAGGAGGACAAAAATAGGAATACTAATCCAATAAAAATCTCTTAAAATTTTTTAGACAATCCATTAGTCTTTAAAATAGAGTCTTTACATGAAACCTTCATAAGGTTGCGTGTAACCTTGGGTAAATACCTGCCAAAGACAAAAAAATTGTAAATCAAGAAATTAAAGAATCCCCCATAGGGAGTAAGCTATGGCATATTCTTACAATGGAATAGTACACGGCTATTGAAAATGAACTCTAACACCTCTACTAAATGAGTAGTAATTCTCTAAAATAATGCTAAGCACACAAATAACAAGATGTGTAGACCAACAACTGTAGCACGATATCAGGTATACAAATAAAAAATTGACAAGATGGAGGCATAGGTGGAGATGCCGTGCTTCCTCACACAACCAAGTTTAGAGACAACTAAATAATAGCAACAGAAAACACAGCCAGAACACAGAAAATTGAACGTTTCGGAAGTCTGATAACAACAAATTCTTCAGCCTGACTGGTAAGAGGGGCGAAACCAGCAGCTGGCAGAGCAGGGTAGCACAGGAAAACTCGGTCGGACGGACTCAGGTGTGCGGAATCCAGGTGCAGGGTTGAACCTGGTGGGCAACTCAGCAAGCAATCTCGGGGAAACAGCGAGGGAGCAGGGCTTCGGGTTGACTGTGGTCTCGCATTCATGTGTGGATAGACAAGCGAGGGAGTGGGTGACTGGACGAGAGCCAGCAGCCCCAGGGGCAAGCAGAGGGTGCCGCCATTTCCCTGCTCTGACCCCGCCTCTACATACAGCGTCATTATCCAGCGACCTAAGTGGCCCTGCCCCGGTGAACACCCTAAGGCTCTGCTCTTCACCCAGCTGTGAGAAACAGCAGAGGGGGCCGCCATTTCCCCCCTCTGACCCCGCCCCCACATACAGCGTCACAACCCAGCGACCTGGGAGTCCAAGGCTCTGCTCCTCATACTTAACAGGCACAAACAGACCAAAAATGGCTCAAGAAGATCTCAAAAGAGCCTATAAATCTTAAGCGATGAAGAAATAGCAAAACTCTCAGACGCACAGTTTAAAACACTGGTGATCAGGATCCTCACAGAACTGGTTGATTATAGCCACAAATTAGACAAACATATGAAGGTGAAACTAATTGAAATGAATGGAATTGCACAGGGAACCAATAGCGATGAAAAGGAAACTGGGACTCAAATCAATGGAATGGACCAGAAGAAAGCAAATAATGGCCAAACAGAAAAGAGTGAAGAAGCAAGAATTCAAAAAAATGAGGAGAGACTTAGGAACCTCCAGGACATCTTTAAACGCTCCAACATCTGAATTATAGGGGTACCAGAAGGGGGAAAGGAATAGCCACCAGTGAAAAACTTTTGGACCCAAGAAGGAACACACCAAGGCACATCATAATTACATCAGCCAAGATTAAAATGAAGGAGAGAATCCTAGAAGCAGCAAGAGATAAGGGGACAGTCACCTACAAAGGAGTCCCCATCAGACTGTCAGCGGATTTCTCAAAAGAGACCTTACAGGCAAGAAGGGGCTGGAAAGAGGTATTCCAAGTCATGAAATCCAAAGACCTACAACCAAGATTGCTCTATCCAGCAAAAATTTCATTTAGAATGGAAGGACAGATAAAGTGCTTCTCAGATAAGATCAAATTCAAGGAGTTCATCATCACCAAGCCCTTATTATATGAAATGTTAAAGGGACTTATCTAAGAAAAAGAAGTTAAAAAACATGAACAGTGAAAGGACAACAAACTCAGTTATTAACAACCACATCTAAAACAAAAGCAAACTAAAAGGACAGCTAGATCAGGAGTGGAAACATAGAAATGAAGATCTCAAGGAGGGTTAGCAACGGGAGTGGGAGGAGAAGGGGGGAGAAGGTACAGAAAATAAGTAGCATAGACAGTAGATAGAAAATGGGGGGGGGGGTCAAGAATAGTATGGGAAATATAGAATCTAAAGAACTTGAGACACATGGTCATAAACTAAAGGGGGGTAATGGTGGGGATGGGGGGGTAGGGTGGAGGGGAATGAAGGGGGGAATAGAACAACTAACAGCATAATCAATAAAAAAATAAATTAAAAAAAAAAGTACAGATAAGTTGTTGCAGAACAGCAATGGCGATGTAAAATACTGTATAGGAAATGGAGAAGCCAAAGAACTTATGGGCATGATCCATAGACATGAACAAAGGTGGGGGGATTGCCTGAGGTAGTAGTGGGCACTGGGTAGAGGGGATAAAGGGGGAAAAAACAGGACAACTGTAATAGCATAATCAATAAAATATAATTTAAAAATAAAAAAATTGAAACCTATGAGGAACTACAGATTTTTTTGTGGAAACAAATATGTAGTAAAACCACAGACGAACACTTGTAAGAATGGGTGTGAAACACACCGAATTCATCACACCTCTGGGGGAAAGAGACGAGAGAGGGGCAGAGCCAATGCTGCGCACACTCGCACAGGGAGGCGCAGAGCTGTGCGCGTTATGTCGTTGTGCAGGGCGGGCAGAAGCAGGTTTAAAACTGTGAGTATGCTAAACAGTTTGTTCTTGTATTCTTATTAATTATTGTATTATTTTCCACATGAATAACTGTAAACCTACTTTTGCCCCCCACTGTATTTTCTACTCTTGCTCATATATTTAAAATAATTTGCCCGATAGCTGAATTGTAATCTGACAGACGTGTTGGGTGAGTAAGATGACTATGTGTTATGTTTGTCATCTCACTAAAATTAAAGCAACATAAAGCGTTAACAATCTGAAGGATCATATACCCAATAACCAACCCCGCCCCCATGAAAACCCAGTCCGATTAAAAAGGGGCAGAGGATCTAAATAGACTTCATCCAATAAGACATACAGACAGCCTGCAGGGACATAAAAAAGTGCTCAACATCACCAACCAGGGAAATGCAAATCAAAACCACAATGAGATACTATCAAAAAGACAAGTAAGTAATAACAAGTGTTATTCGAGGGTCAACTTACTTCTACACAAACACTGAACCATTACATTACATACCTAAAACTAACACAGCTCTGGCCAGGTAGCCCAGTTGGCTAGACAGAGGTCTGTTATGCCAAGGTTGCAGTTTTGACCCGGGTCAGGGCACATGCAAGCAACCGATGAATGAATGCATAAATAAGTGGAACAATAAATTGATGTTTCTCTCAAAACCAATTAAAAACCCCCCTCATGGTGTTTACACACACACACACACACACAAATAAAATATAACTCAATTATATTTCAATTAAAAAATAAGAGAGATGAGAAACTGAGACCCACAGAGGGGAGAGTAGACACGGGAGTCTTCCCCTCCAAGGGGCTGTCGGCTCATTGACAGGCTTGAGTGGTGGAGTTTCTCTTCCGCTGTTTTCCTTCCTCTGCCCCAGAGTGCTACGAGTGGGCTGGGGCCTGGGTGTGATCGATTTGAATGGGAAATGATAATGTTTTATAAAGGGGATTTATGGTTGTATCACTAAATACTTCAGGATCCACAGATTCTTAATCAGAGTCCAAATTGTTTGGAACATATACAATCAATGAAAAATATTAAGAATATTTTGTTTTTGAATTTGAGCATGTTCAGGGAGCTGTTCTGATGAAGTTTAACAAGGGCTGTGACCAAAATGATGAACCAGTGACTTGAGGGGGTGACCCTGCATCTCTGTACTTGTTGGACTGACTTTTAACTTTTATTGGTTCTATGTAATAAAGAAAATTGATCATGTCTAAGAATATATAAATATAAACCAGATCAATACTTTGTCAGTTATGATAAAAGCACCCTACTACACTTGAGTTGCAATGAAATAAAAAAATGTTTATTTTTAAAAAATAAGAAAAATGTATCTTTTAAAAATTAAGACCAACAGTCATAAATATAGGTGCAAGTATGACTAAACAGTTCACAGAAAATAAATCTTTAAAGAATTGCAACATGATACAGTCAAACCCTCACGGAGGCCAACTTGACAACATCTGGTGAAACCCTAGTGCGCACTCACCCTCTAACCTAGCAGCCCCACTGCTGGGAATGTATTGCCAAGTGACAAAGGCATAAGCACTAAATGAAATACGCACACAAGGCTATTGAAAGTGTTATTGAGAATAAATGGCGTTATTTAAGACAGCGAAAGGCACAAAACACCCAGGTTATTTATCAATGAGGGGACTGGTTGAGTAAACCATGGGTGAGCTCCCCAATGGAGTACTGTGGCTATTGTAAAAAAAATGCAGAAAACCTATAAATATTAATATGGAATGGCATCCAGAATATAGAATAGATCCAGGGTCTATTAAGTGAAAAAAGCAAGGTGGAAAGTTGTTTTTAGTATACTGTCTTCTGCATAAAAGGAGAAGAAATAGAAACATATATAGAATAGGTATTAGATTGTATTTTCAAAATAAATAAAGGGAAATAAACCAAAACACGGTTAAAAAAAAAGTCACCTTTAGGAAGAGGGAGGGAACAGAGGTGGAAGCTGCACCTCTCTGAGTACATACACCCTGACTCGGGAGGCATGGGACGCACCCCTTCTGGTGCCCACGGCCCAAATCTAATCTCTCTCTCTCTCTCTCTCTCTCACACACACACACAGAGAAATGAACCTGTTTATCAGATTTGTGGCAAAATGCACAAATAATTTCAAGTTGCTTTAAACACGGTATTTTTTTTACTACACATACTTAATAAAATAATACTGTAAGAATATAAAAACCACAGATGAAAATGAATTCAGCAGTATTACTTTAGTAGTAATAATGCTGGCATTGTTATTTCCTGATTCTCTCCTGTGAAAAAAACCTAGAACCAATGACAATTCATGAGCAGTATCCCTAGGTCCTAGACTATGCTCTTTCAATAACATCCCCACCTTTAAGAGGTGGCTAATCGAGGTCTGGAGCAGGGAAGTGTATGGAAGAAGCAGTTAAAGGCTTAGTACTAAGTTTATGTCAAGTGGGCATAGGAATCTACATAATGGGGCTCTCACTGAACAAATACGGAACTAGGGCAACAGAAATACCCTCTGTCATCACCATTGGAAGTTGGTAAGGCACTGTCTCATAACTCTAAAAATTTACAAAGAGGGAAACCTACAAACACTGATCCTGCTTTTCCCAAACAAACTGATAATCAAAACCTCTAGGAGACCGTGGTGGTTGCTGCACACAAGAATGAATATACCAAAATCCATGTAAGTGCACATATGAAAATGGTGAATTTTCTATCAGCTGAAGAGTGTCTCCAAAAATACTGATGGAAAACTCCTCTTCACCTGAACCCACTGGCCACTCTTGCCATCACTAAGTGGACAACCAGACGCGGTACTTGTCCTAGTAAAACGGAACAAGGTGGAACTATAACCAATTCTTGCCTCCCTCCCAAAGGGTTAAGTGGCATGTAATATATAAATGAACAGCTACTTACTTGATTCCTAAAAATCATAATGTATTTGATACCATCAGCTTTAAGAACAGGAAACTCATTCACTATTGAAAAAAAAATAAGTCATAGTTATTTAAGTGCTAAGGACTATTACTCTCAAATTGGTGACAACATTATTAAATGTTTAAAAGATGCCTTTGGTAACTGAAATGTCAAGTAAATGAAGCTTAGTTAATTATATAATAATCTACTACATAGCTATTAATTCTAGTAAGATTACAAATAATCCCCCCCACCTTTAAGTTTCATTACAAATGAACATGTATTACTTAAATAACTGAATAAAAATGATTTGGACCATGACTAATAACCATTATCATCTTCTTCCCAAAACTGAAGCTATTGTAAATCAAGAGCATGTCTCTGGATGGGATTTGCTTTACATTGCTCTAGTGATGGGAAAATAAATCAGTGAAAAGGACAGAATATCGGCCAGTTGTTAAAAATTCTTACAGCTGGACAATATTAACATGGAAGTTCATTACAATACTCTCCCTATCTTTTAATATATCTAAATTTTCCATACAAAGTTTTTTTTAAAAAAAGTGACTATGTACCCTGGTCAATATCGTTTCATCAAAATAGTAAACTATCCTTACTATTCATCAGTTTCAAGTACTTTAAAATTACTTTAGTTTTAACAGCTTATTTTTTCAAATGAGAAGGAAAAGAAAACCAAAGTATAATTCCTAGACTTAATGCCAAGATAACAAAAAGCTGAGTTGCAAATTCATCTTACTCGTTCCTATTTTCCTTTCTATATAAGGCAACATGTTCTTTATAAAGAGTTCATTTCACTTGGGCAAAATTTGGAGGAACCAGTAGAGATTTTATTCAATAAAAGAAACACCTGCAGGCAGCACAGGAGCCAATGGCTGGAGCACTATCGTGACGTGGAGCCCGTCACGACTTTTGCCATAATGTTACTTATTTTAAAATAACACTGCAAATAAAAATCGCAGGTACAGTGTTGTACGTTGTATAAATAATTTCACACAAAACTCACCGTTGGCTGACTTTAAATCAGGGAGAATGTGATTCACAAAGAACTCAGTCAGGTTTACAAGTTCATTTGCTTGTGTAATTCCATGCTGAAAAGCAAATTTGTTACAGGGTAAAACAACATGAAATACCTGTATATATCCACCACACTGGAAATTTAGGTAACTTTAAAAAACCAGGTTAAAAATAGAGAAGACCACTTCAAAACACAAACTGCTTAAATATAAAACAAGACTGTTTTAATAGGTAATGAAGAAACTCCCTAAATTAGCAAACCCTGAGTCTAAGGGAACAAGTGTGGCATCTGTCAACTTTTTGGTCTATAAGAAACTGAAGTGTTTAATACATCAACATAAAGTCATCTTTGGAGACTCTGAATTCTAATCAGACCTAATAGGTTACCTCTTAGGATGGGTTTAACTTCTGTAGTTACTGACAAATCTGTTTTAGAAACAAAACTACATTGAAAAGACTCACCTTCTGTGTTTGGGCTTTTGATGCCAGAGACGTCACTAGGTAAATGGCAGCATCCTTATGTTTCCAGTTGACAGATGGATTTTTTGCATATTCCTGCAGCATGGAATTTACATAACCAGAGAAGATTCCTGTCACGGGGCCCTCAAAAAACTTGCATAATCCTCGTACCAGATCACACGCAGCCCTGCGTCTAGTATCAATATCTGTAATACCAAAGGGAAACATATCACGAGAAACAAGCACGAAACAACTGATCAGGTTAATAAGAAAAACCACTATCTGGCAGCCAGCAGCAAAATCATGAAAAAATATTTTTTCCCACAAGAAACATAAAATGAGTGAAAATTAAAAAGGTCATAGTAGTATAAAAACACAAATATGTACATTAAAAAAAGAAGTGAAGACAAATGATTCACCTCATATGGCCCATCTAAGAGCTGCTTTTTAAGGTGTGGAAGTTAAAGCAAATAGTTCTCCAACAAAGCTAGTTGAAATAACACACTAATCTTAACTCCCCTCTATCCCCATATTTACCAGAAAAAGAGCAAGTTTAAAACTGGCTTGCTAAGACTAACAGTAAAAAACTGAAATACAGCCCTGACTGGTATGGCTCAGTGGACTGAGCACTGGCCAGTCAGGGCACATGCCTGGGTTGTGGGCCAGGTCCCCAGTAGGGGGCCCATGAGAGGCAACCACACACTGATGTTTCTTTCTTTTTCCTTCCCTTCTCCTATTTCTAAAAATAAATTTAAAAAACCTTTTAAAGAGAATCCATACCAGATCCTTCCAAATCTCTTCTTATGTACTCTTCAGAATTATCTTCAAAGGCTTCTTCATCAGCAGCTATAAAGAGAGGTGACAGTTCAGATAATCCCTCAAAAGACATGAGAATCATTGTACTTTGCAGCTGAGTATGCAGAACAGTATGTAGAACTGATATGTTTTACAGCAAAGTATTGTTTCCCAACACACGACTACTTCACACATTATTAATCATTACTGAGAGCAGCAAATGCTACCCTGAAAGGTTAGGAAATAGGTCATCTGCACTGGCTCACATGCTCTAACATGACAATGCCCCCGTAATTGGACTTTATCACCAACTTTCAAACTCGAGTGCTGGCCCGCCCTGACCAGGTAGCTCAGCTGGTTAGTGTCATTCCCACGTGCCCCAGTTGCAGGTTCAGTCTCCAGTCAGGGCACACAATACAAAAAGCAACCTCCATGAAGGCATAAATAAGTCGAACAAAACTGTTGTTTCCTTTTCTCTTTCTCTCTCTCTCCCTTCCTCTCTTTCTCTAAAGTCAATCAATTAAAAAAGTTTTTTTTTTTTTTAAAGTGGGTATTGGGAACCGGTCTAGGGATGCCACTTTTAATTTTGCCAGGTAAGGACATTAAAAAAACAAGGTAACAACTACAATTACCATTGTTTCACAAAAATCATTTTTTTTGTTGTTTAAAATATTTTATTTATTTATTTTTTGAGAGAGGGGAAGGGAAGGAGAAAGATTGGGAGAGAAATATCAATGTATGGTTGCCTCTTATGAGTCCCCTGCTGGGAACTGGCCCGCAACCCAGGCATGTGCCCTGACTGGGAATCAAACCGCGATACTCTGGTTCACAGGCCCGTGCTCAATCCACTGAGCTATGCCAGCCAGGGCACAAAAATCATTTTAACATCGAAAAAGCAGGACAGGCAATATCAGAATAAAGATCTGTCCTCTGAATGTAGTTTTATGAAAACACAAAGGAAACAAACCTCACATTGTATCGTTCTTTATTTCCTCATTCTGTTCCAGATAATGTGAGAACCACTGATCTGAGGACTAACTGCTGTGATGTAGAAATTCCCCCCATATTTACTACTTCCTCTTCCCAGCTGGAAGGAATGACCTTCTGTACACGAACAAATACATTCTCTTAGGACTATCTTAACCTTAAGCACAAACTAAGGGGGCTTTCACTCTATTTAAAAGTTATTAATTACATCTAATCTCAAGCCAATTGTTGGAAAACAGCTATTCGCTTTGGTGAAATATTAAATCAAACGAAACCAAATTATTTCACATAAGGCACATAAGTTGCAATACTGGATAGTTTACTTCTCAATGTAACGGGACTGCAAGTCTTCTCGATTTTTCTATGGAAAACCCCCCACAGTACACAACAAACTCATCACAGCAGTATTTATTCCACAAGTGCCTTTCATACCACATTTTCTGTCTTAGTTTAGAAAGTAGGCAATATATGATCAACAAAAGTTTTACTTCAGTGATAAAGAAATTAGAATGTTACAGAAACCAACAGGGAGAAGACTTACTACATTTATACTAACACTCCTTTAAAAAACAAAACAAAAACAAGCTTTTGATCTCCCAAAAAAGCTTTACGCTTAGCTGTAATTACCTCTAAATTCCATGTTAGGCACAATAACCTTTTCACAGATACTTGTCAGTGTGTTCTGGTCCTCAAACAGATTCTTATAGTGAGGTCTCTCACAAACTGAAGCCAGAAATTGAATTGCATTACTTACCAACTGGAAGAAAACACAAAATAAGCATATTTTTAAAAGCAAAACCAAACCATTTATTTCTTTGGGAAGTAGGGGAAAATGTCTGAATTATTTGTCTCCACCAGCACCTTACCAAGTCATATTTGACTTCTTGACCTGTTGTAACTAGTAAATTCCAGATGGCTGTGACGAAACGAGGCAGGTACCGTTGAAACTCCTCATCATACTTTTGTGCATACAGTGCAGCATTATCACAAATCTGGGATTTTAAGAGCTCCAATAAGCCTGCTTCCTCTTCATCCTCACATGAGAGAAAACAGAAAACTCAAATACACAACTTTAAAAAAAATTATTTTTAAAGATTTTATTTATTGACTTTTAGAGAGGGGATAAGGGAAGAAAGGGAGAGAGGGAAACATCAATGTGTGGTTGCCTGTCACGTGCCTGCTACTGGGGACCCAACCTGCAACCCAGGCATGTGCCCTGACTGGGAATTAAACTGGCAACCCTCTGGTTCACAGGCCTCGCAAGCCGGCACTCAATTCACTGAGCCACACCAGCCAGGGCTAAACTTTCATCATGTCCATTATTTCCTATGCTGTGGATGAATTTTTAAAAAGAGACTATTATTACAGAGACCTACATTTTAAGTTTTCTTAATATCTTCAATGACAAATGATTTTCTATTTCATAAATGTTTACACTGTGAATACTCTAAGGCCTTCTTTCAATACAATTAAATAGCCTAATCTATATACTGTGACCAAAGCCAGAAGCATAACAAGTAATTGATTCTGCATACTAGAAATAACCAAATATGAAACATCCCACATAATCAAATATTACTTGCATTCTTGGAATTTTAGCTATTAACAATGCAAAGGTAAATAATTTTAAGGAAGCAGAATACTAAATGATCTCCAATAACTTTATTTCATTTTCTGAAGTCTAATTAAATATCTTCCAAGATTTTGAGGGTATCCAAATAAATTTTTAATTAAAAAAATTGAGATATAATTAATATATAACATGTCTCAAATAATTCTTAACTTTAACAAAAGTCTACTTGGGAAAAATTTTAAACAATACTTACATCAGTTTGTAGAAGCTTATTATCTAATGTCAAGAGGGTATGAAAATTGTTCATCCAAGTTTCCATATTATCTTCAAAAAATTCAGGGAGATCCTAAAGAATAAATGCTGACTTGAGTCTTTTAATTAAAATAATATGCTATTTATATAAGTTTCCAACAGACACCAAACACTGTCCACATGCCTACAGACCCAAGTCCACACTTCTTAGCCCAAGCCAACCATGATCTATTTCAATGAGAATTCTCTGTTCTAACCAGGTCTGGCAGCAGAACAAACCACTGTGACTTCTGTCTCTGTTTATATGCTTTCAACCAGAAATGATGCCATCTAGACTTCCTCTACCAGTCTGAAGATACTTATCCCTTCAAGGTCAGCTAAGACTACATGAAGCCTTTCCTCACAAAACTTGGTGCTTACCAGTATATTCCTTTTCCTGTCTGAACTACTGCATTTAGTGTAAGATGACAACCAATTAACTGCCTTATACAATCAATGGCTTCCTATGGAATGGTACTGCCTTCTTAATGAGGTTGGTTGATGAGGTCTCCAATGATAAGAGTATGTCTTAGGTGTCCCTGACTATGCCTCATTATACCTAACTTCTAGGAAGCAGAATTCAAAAGAAAGTATAAGCAAAAACAGTGGCATCCTTTAACTGAGAGTTTCTCAAACTGCTATCTAGCTGACACTGAGTGGGCATGCCGTTTTGGGCTGTTCATCTCCTACTTTACCTAACCCTTTCTGCAATGCTCTCTACCACTGTGAGCCATGCTGTAAGATGAGGTTGAGGTACTTGGCTCTGGCTATGAGCAATAAGGCCAGACCCTTTCTTTCTCTTGCCATTCAGTACAATAATCTGTACCAATAAGATCTCTTGGTTCCTGGAGCCCTGAATCATAAAGTACTGATTCAAGAACAGAAAGAATGAGTGACTGGATGCAACAGGGTGATCAGGCGTTTTCTGCTATAAAATTGTGGCTTTTGTTTCCCCTGAAAGGACACTGGTTCTTCTACTATTCAAAGCCTGGTTTTTCAGACTTCTGTCTCCCAGATATGCTTCCATTCAAAGCCTTTTTGTATAAGCTAGCCATAGACCTCTAATCAAAACAGGGCTCCCCCAGTGTTAAGATCCACTTAAATGAACAGGGAAAGCCTGAGAATGTGATCTCTCAGCATCTTCAGTGAAAGAGAAGAGGATGATTCTCCAAAACAGTGACTGAGGATGTGGGGTTTCCCTAACCTGGTTACAAGAGAATGCCACTTGCCCCCATGAAAAAGCTACTAGTGATCTCTAAAAACTACTATAAAGTAGAACACTATCTGATTAGACAAAGAATGGGAGGAGTCAGAGACAAAAATGAATTTCAGAAAAATCAACGCTGGCAAACAAGTCTTTATCAAATGAAAACCTGTATATTTATCAACAGTAAGAATCAAAAGCAAGAAAAAAAACCCCAAAACCCCAAAACCCCAAAGCTTACCTGAAAGTTTAAACTGTAGAACAGTTTTGAGATCAGAATCAAGGAAGAAAAAAGAATCCTCAGGGCAGCGGCATCATTTGCATGGGTATTACAGAGTTCAATGGTGGCCTTGGGAAGAAATTTAGGAACATAGTTTTAGCATATTGCAGACCTTCATGAAGCAGCCTGCACTAGGTTGAGACGACTTAAACCTCTTCTCCAAAACTTGACTTTTAAAAATATTTGATTTTTGAAGAATCAAATATATTGAAATTTAAAAAATATTTGATTTCATTTTTTAAAGATTTTATTTATTTGCAGAGAGATGGGAAGGGAGGGAGAAAGAAAGGGAGAGAAACATTCACATGTGAGAGAGATGCTGATCAGTGCCTCTTGTGTGCCCCAACGGGACCTGGCCTGCAACCCAGGCATGTGCCCTCACTGGGAATCAAACTGGTGACCTACTGCTTTTCAGGCCAGCATTCAACCCACTAAGCCACATCAGCCAGGGCTTGAAAAATATTTTAAAGTACATATATATACTTTTAATCCTCACCTGAGATACGTTTATTGATTTTAGAGAGGGAGAGGGGGAGAGGTGAGAGGGGGAGGGGGGGAGAGAGATCAAGAGGGAAACATCAATGCAAGAGAGAAACATTGGTCAGCCACCTCCCATATGCATCTGCCCAGGGGTCAGAATCACAGCCTTTTGGTGCACGGGATGACGGTCCAAACAAGCCACCAGCCAAGGCTTAAATTACATATTTTGAAATGACCTATATGGCACTACTAAAAACTCCAATGTTAGTATTTTAGACTAGATCCTTCCATTCTCTGTGCATATATAGATATATATTACACAAAATTGTCTTTATATGCTCTCATTAAATAATTCCCCTGCCATCTGGCATTTAAGTTGTTTCCAATTGTTTATTATTCTAACTGTATCAAATAGGCTTGTCTAGAGAACTCTGTGCACCTCTGATTTTCACAGGCTGACATTCTAGAAGTGTATTACTGAAGCAGAAGGGTATGCTATGAGCACAGATTTTTGGAAGCCAGAGAGACCTAAATATAACCCAAACTCTGTTACTCACAATAAGCATTACTTTGAGCAAGTTATTTTATTGAGACCAGATCTCCTCAACTGTAATATGAGATAATGGCTGCCTCATAGAGAGAATATGCAAATTAAGTGAGAAAAACTATACAAAATGCCCCAGTGCTTGCACATAACTACTCTGTTACAGACACTCAACAAAGTGTTATTTCGTATATCCTGGAGTTAGGAAAAATGAATATTAAGGTTTTTTAAATAAAATGTAAAACTCCAAAAAGCTGGTACCATTTATAACCCAATGGGCAGGACACCAGAATTTTCATTTCGATGTACTCTGGCTAAGACTTTTAGTATCATTAAAAAGAAATAAAAATCTTTGCCAAGAGGTAGAAAAAAATTGATCACATTTTGTCCAATGTTGTTTTTTAAATAAAAATGTACCATCGGTAAGACACCCTAACCATGAGAAACCTCATGCACACTCTCCATTTTAGCAAGCTGTGATTATCACACAACTTCCCTTTCAGAACCAAGAAATGAGCACCTTCTCGAGAGCCAGCAAAGAGGTGTGGGGCCTGTGTGATACTGAACCCTCTTTCCTCATCTCGGGGGCAGGGAAGGGGAGGCCGGAAGGTTAACAATACCTCTTTCAACCTTACAGGATTCTCACAAAGATAAAGATGATGTTTAGGTTTGAACATACCTAAATGTTAGATGAATAAGTAGCCTGTTCACCACAAGATGATATACAAAATAATAAACTACATAAATAGCCAACCCAAAATGTGAACCTATTCCTTTAAGAGACAAATATGCAAATACTTGAGTGCAATAATATGATGCCTGGAATTTGCTGTTAAATATTCTTTCAAAATGAAGGGAACAAATTGTTTAAAAACCAAAACATCGGGGGATGCTGGGAAGATGGCGACGGAGTAAGATGGAGCTGATACTAGCTCCTGTACTCATGGGTGAAAATCCTGGCAGATCTATAGAGAAACAGCACAATAAACCATCGGTTACCCAGCATTTATGAAATTAAAAGACCAGAGATTGTGACCGACGCTGAAACACCAGACGGCGGCAGAGTCAGCTACCGGAGCTGGGTCTCACGCGGCCCCTGTGCTGCCGCCAGAGCAACAGGCCTGGGAGCCGGGGAGTCAGGTACGTAAGCCGGACACTCCAAGCCCCTGTGACAGTCCTGGGAGACAGAGGAGTCAGGAACCGGAGCGGGGACACCCTTGTGCCGATGCCATAGCTACCGGCTTGGGCAACGGAAGGGTCAGTTGCAGGAGCTGGGACACCAAAGGCCCCTGTGACGCCGCCATAGAGACAGGCCTGGACCCTGAGGAGCCAGCTACGGGAGCCGGGAAGCTCTCAGATCCTGTGCCGCTGCCATAGCCACAGGACTGGACACTCCAAACCCCTGAGACAGTCCTGGGTGGCAGAGGATCCCTCTACGGGAACTGGGACGGTCTCAGCCCCTGTTCTGCTGCCATAGCGACGGGACTGGACACTGGGGAATCAGGTACGGGAGTTGGGACTTTCTAAGCCTCTGTGCCACAGCCATAGAGACAGGACTAGATGCCGGGGAGTTAGGTACGGAAACCGGGACACTCCAAGCCCCTGTGACGGCCCTGGGCGGCAGAGAGAGCCAGATACGGGAGCCGGGACATTCCCAGCCTCTGTACCACTGCCGTAGTAACGGGCCTGGGTGCTTGAGGAGGTGGCTACTAGAGCCGGGACATTCAGCAGTGGTAGGGGACCAACGCAGGGACCAGCGCGAGGACCAGCGTGAGTGTAGCTGGAGACTAAGAACATCAAGAAACTTCAAGGAGTCTGCACCACTGAACTTCACAAGGATCATACCACAGAAGTTTACACCATAAAACCAGTGTTTCAGAACAGATCAATTTTGGAAGCAGAGACTAACAAGAAGAGTCTCAAACAATGGGAAGACAAAGAAACAATCCCCAAATGAAAGAAAAAGCAGAAACTTCAGAAAGAATGTTAGATGAAATAGACGCTGATCAACTATCAGACAGTGAATTCAAAGCACTGGTTATTACGAAGTTCAAAGAGCTCACAGTGAACTACCAGAAACTACAGGGGAACTATAATGATCTCTCTGCAAACTACAGCAACATCAAAAAGGAAATGGAAACTATCAGCAAGAGACAAGAGGAAATGAAGAATACAATTTCCGAATTGAAGTACACAGTAGAAAGTTTCCAAAGTAGGATAGATGAAGCGGAGGATAGGATTAGTGAGTTGGAGGACAAGGTAGAAAGCATCTCACAGAAAGCAAGAAAATGAAAAGAGGCTCAGAAAGAATGAAGAGGGATTAAGAGAAATGCAAGACAATATGAAACGTAATAATATCTGAATAATAGGAATACCAGAAGGAGAAGAAGAAGAACAAGGGATAGAAAACGTATTTGAACGAGTAATGAGAGAAAATTTTCCTAATTTGATAAGAGAAAGAGTCTCACAAATCCAGGAATCACAGAGAGTCCCAACCAAGAGGAACCCAAGGAGGCCCACTTCAAGACACATCATCATCAAAATGGCAAAATTCCAAGACAAAGAGAGAATCTTAAAGGCAGCAAGGGAGAAAAAAGAAATAACATACAAGGGAGCCCCAATAAGGTTAGCTACCGACTTCTCAATGGAAACACTTCAAGCAAGAAGAGAATGGCAAGAAATATTTCAAGTAATGAGAACCAGAGGCCTACAACCAAGGCTACTTTACCCAGCAAGGCTCTCAATCAAGATAGATGGCCAAATAAAGAGCTTCCAAGACAAAATAAGTCTAAAAGAATATGCCTCCATCAAACCAGCTCTACAAGAAATACTAAAAGGACTGCTTTAAGGGAAGGAAGGATAAGAGGGAGACAGAGAGGAACACAGGTACAAAAATGGCAATGAATAAGTACCTATCAATAATAACCTTAAACGTAAATGGATTAAATTCTCCAATCAAAAGACACAGAATAGCTCAATGGATAAGAAAGCATGACCCACACATATGCTGCCTACAAGAGACTCACCTCAGGACAAAAGACCATCACAGACTAAAAGTGAAAGGCTGGAAACAAGTTTTCCAAGCAAACGGACAAGAAAAAAAAGCTGGGGTAGCAATTCTCATATCAGACAAAATAGACTTCAAAAAAAAAGGCTATAAAGAGAGACCCAGAAGGTCATTTCATTATACTCAAGGGAAGAATCCACCAAGAAGACATTAACATTGTAAACATATATGCACCAAACATAGGGGCACCCAAATATATCAAGAAAATCTTAGAGGACTTCAAGAAAGATATTGACAGCAACACAATCATAGTAGGGGATTTGAACACCCCACTATCAAAAATGGACAGATCTTCCAAACAAATTATCAACAAAGATATTGTGGCATTAAACAACACCCTAGATGAAATGGACTTAACTGATATATATAGAGCCCTTCATCCCAAAGAAGCTAAATACACATTCTTTTCAAATGCACATGGAACATTTTCAAAGATAGACCACATGATAGGACACAAAACGAGCCTCAAAAAATTCAAGAAAATTGAAATCATACCAAGCATCTTCTCTGACCACAAGGGACTGAAATTAGAAACCAACCCCAAAGAAAAAAACCCAAAGCACCCAAAAACATGGAGACTGAATGGTATGCTATTAAACAACGAATGGGTCAAGAATGAAATTAGGGAAGAAATCAAAACATTTCTGGAAACAAATGAAAATGATCTCACAACAACCTAAAACTTATGGGACACAGCGAAGGCAGTCCTGAGAGGGAAGTTTATAGCAATACAGGCCTACCTAAAGAAAATAGAAACATTTCAAACAAACAACCTAACCCTACGCCTGCAAGAACTCAAGGAACAACAACAAAGACAGCCCAGAGCAAGCAGAAGGAAGGAAATAACCAAGATTAGAGCAGAATTAAATGACATAGAAACTAAAAGCACAATTTTAAGGATCAATGAATCCAGGAGTTGGTTCTTTGAGAAGATAAACAAAATAGACAAGCCTTTAAGTAGGCTCATCAAGAAAAGAAGAGAGAGGACACAAATAAACACAATCAGAAATGAAAAAGGAGAGATTACAACTGATACCACAGAGATAGAAGGGATTGTAAGAAATTACTATGAAGAACTGTATGCCAAGAAATTTGAAAACCTAGGGGAAATGGACACATTTCTAGAAAAATACAATCTTCCAAAACTCAGTGAAAAAGCAGAAAATCTAAATACACCAATAACAGCAAAAGAAATTGAAGCAGTAATCAAAAAACTCCCATCACACAAAAGCTCCGGACCAGATGGTTTCACAGGAGAATTCTACAAAGCATTTAAGGAAGAGCTAACCCCTATTCTCCACAGACTATTTCAAAAAATCCAGAAGGATGAAAAACTCCCAAATTCTTTTTATGAAGCCAGCATCATCTTAATTCCAAAACCAGATAGAGACACAACAAAGAAAGAAAACTTCAGGCCAATATCGCTGATGAACATAGATGCTAAAATCCTCAACAAAATATTGGCAAATCGCATCCAACAATATATCAAAAAGATCATACACCATGATCAAGTAGGATTCATCCCAGGGATGCAAGGATGGTTCAATATTCGCAAATCAGTAAATGTAATACATCACATAAACAAAAGCAAAGACAAAAATCACATGATCATATCAATAGATGCGGAAAAAGCTTTCGATAAGGTACAACACCCATTTATGATAAAAACACTCAGCAAAGTGGGAATACAGGGAGCATTTCTCAAAATAATAAAGGCCATATATGAGAGACCTACAGCCAATATCATACTCAATGGGAAAAAACTAAAAGCTTTTCCTCTAAGATCAGGAACAAGACAAGGTTGTCCACTTTCACCACTTCTATTCAATATAGTATTGGAAGTTTTAGCCACAGCGATCAGGCAAGAAAAGGAAATAAAAGGCATCCAAATAGGAAAGGAGGAAGCAAAACTGTCACTGTTTGCAGATGACATGATAGTGTACATGGAAAATCCTATAGACTCTACCCAAAAACTGCTCAAACTAATTAATGAGTTTGGCAAAACAGTTGGTTACAAAGTCAATATCCAGAAATCAAAGGCATTTTTGTATACCAACAGTGAATCAGCAGAAGCAGAAATAAAGAGAAAAATCCCATTTGATATAGGAAAAAGAAAAATAAAATATCTGGGAATAAACCTAACTAAGGAGGTAAAAAACCTGTATGCAGAAAACTACACAGCCCTGAAGAACGAAATCAAGGAAGACACAAACAAATGGAAACATATACCTTGTTCATGGATTGGAAGAATTAACATCATCAAAATGTCCATACTACCCAAAGCAATATACAGATTCAATGCAATACCTATTAAAGTACCAATGGCATATTTCACAGACATAGAACAAACACTTCGAAAATTTATATGGAACCATAAACGAGCCCGAATAGCAGCTGCTCTTTTGAGAAAGAAGAACAAAGTAGGGGGGATCACAATACCTGATATCAAACTGTATTACAAGGCCACTGTAATCAAAACAGCCTGGTTCTGGCATAAAAACAGGCACATAGACCAATGGAACAGAACAGAGAGCCCAGAAATCAACCCAACTCTCTACAGTCAATTAATAGTCGACAAAGGGGGCAATAACATAAAATGGAGTAAAGATAGCCTCTTCAACAAATGGTGTTGGGAGAACTGGACAGCTACATGCAAAAAAATGAAACTTGAGCACAGACTTACACCATACACCAAAATAAATTCAAGGTGGATAAAAGACTTAAATGTAAGTCATAACACCATTAAAGTCCTAGAGGAGAACATTGGCAAGAAAATCTCAGATATTTCATGCAGCAACTTCTTTACTGATATGTCCCCTAGAGTAAGGAATGTAAAGGAAAGAATAAACAAATGGGATCTCATCAAAATAAAAAGCTTCTGCATGGCTAAAGAAAACAGTATTAAATTAGCAAGACAACCAACTGTATGGGAAAACATATTTGCCAATGATACCTCAGACAAAGGTTTAATCTCTAAAATATACAAAGAACTTACACGACTCCACTCTAAGAAGACACCCAACCCAATTAGAAAATGGGAAAAGGACTTGAGCAAACACTTCTCCAAGGAGGACATACAGAACATTCAGAGACACATGAAGAGATGCTCAATATCATTAGCTATCAGAGAGATGCAAATTAAAACCACAATGAGATACCACTTTACACCAGTCAGGATGGCTATCATAAACAAAGCAACAAACAACAAATGTTGGAGGGGTTGTGGGGAAAAGGGGTCCTTAGTTCACTGTTGGTGGGAGTACAGACTGGTACAACCATTATGGAAAACAGTATGGAATTTTCTCAGAAAAATAAAAATCGACCTGCCTTTTGACCCAGCAATTCCACTGCTGGGATTATATCCTAAGAATCCTAAAACATCAATATCAAAGAACCTATGCACCACAATGTTCATAGCAGCACAATTTACAATAGCCAAGAGTTGGAAGCAACCTAGGTGCCCATCAGTAAATGAATGGATCCAAAAATTGTGGTACATATACACAATGGAATTCTATGCTGCAGAGAGAAAGAAGGAGCTACTACCATTTGCAACAACATGGATGGAACTGGAAAGCATTATGCTGAGTGAAATAGGCCAGGTGCTGAAAGACAAATACCATATGATCTCACCTTTAACAGGAAGCTAAACAACAAAACAAGCAAGCAAGCAGAAAAAAAAAACCCACAAAAAACAAAGACACTGAAATAGAGAACAAGGGGATAGTGACCAGAGGGGAGAAGGAAGGGAAGTTAAGGGGAAAAAGGGGGAGGGATTTGGAGGAACAAATAGGAAGGACACAGGGACGAGAACTAAGGGGGGTGGAAATGGGAGGGAGGTGGGGAGCAAGGGGTGGGGGAGGCTGGGATGGGAAAAATAGACAAAAAACTGTACTTGAAAAATAACTAAATAAAATTTTTAAAAAAAATCAGTAACTGTTTACCTTGTGTAATAGATACATTATTTACCTTGTGTAATAGAGTTCATTATTTACCATCTGCTCTATTTCTGTGTAGGTTAGAAATTTTTCAAAAGAAATGCTGCTCTAAATATTACCTAGAAAATAAGCTTTCAAAGCATTCTCTTAAACAAAATTTATATAAATATTTCAGCAATTTTAAACATTAAGTAACTTAAAATATCACCAAAATATTATTCCATACCTTAAAGAGATTAGTCAAAGGCAAAGCAAAGGCATCCAGGACAAGTTTAATTTCAGTCCATAATTCGTTTGATTTAAATTCATGGCGGTATCTAGAAAATTAAGGTAAAGTAAGTAATTTACAAGTTTTTGTTTACCGACTTTAGTTCTTCAAGGATAGACTAAAGAAAAGCTAGAGCTAGGCAGCTTTCTGAAATTCAAAAGAAATTCTTTTAAAAGGAATGAAGCAGTTTAAGGAGACTAGGAGTTTTACAGGTGACAGGGCATTACGAAATAAACATCCTATTTAAGAACACACACACACACAGTAATGAATGAAGAGGCTTGTGCTCTTATTCCAGGGTTGTCACACTCAGAGGAGTGACGATAGTCACAAAAATATAACTGTTTACACAAGCAAAAACACTGAAAAAAAATGTTAAAGTATAAATTTATACACCAATACCTTTTAAAAAGAGAATGTGCTGTGCGAAGGACTCCATTAATAACATGAAAATCACCACTCTGAAAGCGATTCACCATTTCTGTCAACAAGTCAGGCCATTTCTGAGGGAAATCTTCTCTACCAATAATGCTAATGGCATCACTTAACTGAGGGGAGGAAAAATATGAATTAGATGAAAGCTTTACAAACTAGTCTATTTAAAAAGCAGGGTCTTACATTACCTGCTTCTGAATTTGCTCTGGGCTGCTAAGCATCAAATGAACTATGTTGGCTTTAATGGCTACTCGGTCGGCTTCACAAATTTTGTTTGGTTCATCTTCAACCTAAAAGCAAAACACTCATGAGCCAGTAACATTAAAATCCATGTCCATGACCAGATGGGTTTTTGAATAAATAGAACCATTTCTAATGTCCTGGTTTTCTAAGAAAAACATAGAGAAAGGTAAGGTGTTCCCTCTAAATGAATGGGTTACAGATTTCTTTAGTGATCTCATGAGAGCATGAACCCTTTGAACAAAACTTTCATATTTCATCCTAAATGCAAATACTTACCATACAAATTAATGAGCTACTGACTCCCTGATGTCAATTAAGAATCTCAGTTCTATATATAAATTAATCAGAACATGGGGTTAAAACCTTTACATATGCTACCTAGCCCACATTCATCTTCGAAAGCTTCAATGTTGAGTCTCACCTTAAATCAAAGGTCTTTGCAGTGAAACCGCTCGACCACTATGAGTCTGAATGCATCCAGGACTACACCCAAAGAGGCCGAGAGTCTCACTGGTTTTATAAATTGAGACAGAGGTAGAGAGGGGTTTATAAACATCTTAAGATTCACCAGGTTATTTTTTCACATGTGGTTATTGAAAATACAAGCTTAAAACAATATTTAATTATTGCTCAAGTACAGTTTTCTTTTATTCCCACCCCAGCCCACCCCCCTTTTTGAACCATTTTTAAACTCTTATGCAATGAAGAAAAAAAATTCTAAATAAAAATTTTAGAAGATTTAAAGTTGACTTTTTTTGCTACCCATAATACTTTCTAAATAAATATTATTACTGCTACCACTATAAAACAATTCTCATTCCCATCCCTTATCCTAAACCATGGTTTCCTTAACCTTGGATTACTGACATTTTAGGGCAGATAAATCTTTACAGTAGGGATCTTTGTCGTATATTGTAGGATGGTTACCAATATCCCGACCCACCAGATGCCCTAACACCCACACCCCACCCTAAACTCTAACCCTGGTGGGCAAAATCACCCCCAATGGAAAAACACTGTCCTGAGCTAAGGAGTGGAAAATAGCAGTTTCTTAATCATAATTTTATATAGGTCATTAAACTTGTAGGACAGTAAGATTCACCTTAGAATTAGTATTCATTTCCATATCCCATAAAGACAGAGGTCACAATCCGTTATCAAAAACTTCAACGTAAGTTATTCTGCAGTCTACAAATTTTCACATATAATACAGTTTTCAGCTTTATATAAATTTTCCCAGTCTACAATAGAAATTGCTTCAATGATTCATTTCGATGGCGTCTTCCCCCGTCTCTTCAGTACATGATGAGCTAGAGTTAAATTTCAACCACAACAGAGACTAAAGTGAAGTTCTACAACCCTCTAGCAACCTGGGTTATAAAGCTGAGGTAATCCATGCAAATTCAAACGAGACACAAGAACTTTCAAAAAGTGTCCTGATTAACTTTTGTCAGCTCTGATTTTCTGCATAGATGACCGTGCCATCTGTGAACGGACAGTTTTATGTCCTCCTTTGCAACTGATACCCCTTTTATTTCCTCTTCCTACTGCGCTAGTCAAGACTTCCAATACAACGTTGGGGAAAGCGGTAAGGAGAGATGTCCTTACTCTGCACCTAATCTCAGTGGAAAGCGTCACATTTCTCACCATTAAGTATGACGTTAGTCGTTGGTTTGTTTTTTGTTGTTTTGATAGTCTTTATCAAGAAAGTTCCTCCTCTATTCCTACTTTACTGAAGTAGTTTTTATCATGAATGAATGTTAGATTTGGTTAAAAAAATTCTCTTGCGTCTATTGATATAATCATGTTAATTTTTAAAATGTATAGTTTATTGATATGAATTACATTAATTGTTTATTCTTTTTATTGAATTTACTGAGGTGATATGGGTTAATAAAACTGTATAGTTTCAGATGTACAATTCTATAATACAGCATCTGTATATTATATTGTATGTTCACTACCCCAAGTCCAGTTGCCTCCTCTATCTGCCCCGAACTGGGCGCAAACCTACAACCCAGACATGTGCCCCGACCAAGAATCGAACCAGGGATTTCTCACTTCGCAGGATGACGCCCAGCCAACTGAGCCCCACCAGTCAGGGCAGGACAGTAATTTCTGAATGCCGAACAAGCTTTGCACACCTGGGATAAATCCCACTTGGTCATGGTATATATATATATTTTTATACTCTTTTGGATTTGATTTGCTATTATTTTGTTGAGGAGGGTCCTATTTAATTTTTACCTTTAATCTGTGTCTAAATCTCTCAAGAATACTGCAAATATAAATCTTACAAATATACAAGGCATTAAACTATGTATTCACCAAATACTTACAACTCTCCAGTTCCTTTTAATGTAGTTCTTGAATGTTACGGAGGCACACACTTTGATAACGTTATCCTGGGACTTCTCCAGCAGTGTTAAAAGCAACAGTGGGTAATTCTGACTTGCTTCTACAGACTCAAGAAACTTCTCAGCTGTAAGAGAATTTCCACGTTAGATTTGTTATTCTAACCAAATCTTCCCACATTATATACATATGTAAACTATGTGTATCTGACTGAAGCATCAAAAAACAGAAAAGATCAAGATATTTTTTCTCAGGGAACTCAAATTTTCTTGCCTACTGAACGGACTACATAGGATATTATATTAAATTTACATAGTACCTCAGTTTTCAAATCACTCATGTCACCTGATGCTCACAAACCTATAAAGCAGCCTGATCAGATGACCACCCATCTGAAGGAGAATGTGCTCCTCAGAGAGGCTAAGTGGCTCCAGGGCGAAAGTAACGCCCTGTCTCATTCCAGAAGGATTATTATTGGTACTGCAGGTTTTGGTAGTAATACTTCTTCTATAGCACCACTGTGATTACGTGAGCTAATTCATGCTAACACACAGGGTCTGGCAGAAGTTAATGCCTGCTTGAGTGTGGCTGGTAGGATGATAATAATAGGGTATAATAATTTATAGTTTTGATTTAAACATTGTACCTAAAATGTCACATGGTGTGCTTAAGTGTGATATTGTTATGTCACAGAATTACATGCTTATGATTTTGTAATGACAAGGGGGCATTACTTGTGCTGGGTCCTGTACACTATTATTAACTACATGGGTCTGGTACTTTGCCCACATGTATTATTTCATTAAGCTGTCATTAATTCACAGAGAAGTAGGCAACAATAACCTCATTGTAGAGACAAAACCACTGAGGTTAAGTAGCTTGTCAAAGACCACACAGCTAGAATGATTTCATCAATGAAAAGTTTTAGTCTAGTCCTTATTTGACCATACTAGACTTCAGTTTTCTTCTTGAAATAAACATTTCTAATACCAGCAATAAATTTATACACATTTAAAAAAATATTTATTTATCTTTAGAGGGGAAGGGAAGGAGAGAAGGAGAGAAAAATCAATGTATGGTTGCCCCTCATGTGTCCCCTGCTGGGAACTGGCCTGCAACCCAGGCATGTGCCCTGACTAGGAATCGAACCGTGATCCTTTGGTTCGCTGGCCCATGCTCAATCCACTGAGCTACACCACCAGGGCAAATTTATACACATTTTAACTCACATATTTACACTCATTACACTTAGGAATATTAAATCTCCTAGGTTTACTGACCACACAGTGAAGGTTTATAGCACTTCAAATTTTTCCTGTCTTAAGCCTCACCTATTCCAAGGATCCAATACTTCCTGCAAAGGTCTGCTGTTAACATCTATTATTTCCTACGACAATATGACAACACTTTTCTTCTTTCTGAATTGAGTCCCAAGAGTTTAATTTCTATCCTCAAACTTTCCCTGCTTTGTGTTCCCCATGTCTTTCTTGAAAGATGAGAAATAAACTGAAACATGTTTTAAGTAGCAGACACAGTTTTGTATGAGTCTGTTGGGCTTTTATTGTTTCCTCCTAGTGGTCGGCACTTAGCACAGGGCCACACACTGTATCTGTGGTTTGGAGGAAAGCCCATACAGACTGCCAGGTCTCTTTCCTAAATTGTAATTAATATCCTGGAGGCAATCTTCTCATGAGTTTGAGTCTATTCCCTTCTGTGTTCATTTCCCTCAACTTGTTCTCAGAGTATTCTCACTTACGTATTTCTACACACTCGACAAACCTCAAAAGTTTCTTCTAATTCACCTATGATAATGTCACATCTCAATAACCTGTGGAGCACAGTGGTACCTGTAGGCTGGGACCCACTACACACTGCCACCTCCAAGTAATTTTATAAATATGTGAAGTCGGTCTGCTACCAATCCCTGAGAAATAGTTTATTCCTACACTGTATCCTAGATTCATACAACAATTGCACCTTTACCTTAAAAGACACAATTAAAAATCATTTTTAATAGACAGTGTTGGCAGAGGCTTTCTAGGAAAGTCTAAGAAGATTAGAGCCATCAATTTCCCTTCATCCAAGAACACATTACTTTTTTAAGCACCAAAGGGAATATCACAAATTTTCCCTCTCAGAAACCGCAAAGGCTTTTCTAGACTAGGATGGATGCATTAACATGTTGATGATTCTACTTATTATATGTAACACCAATATGACACACACACATACTCATTTGTGTCTTTACTGGGCACTTCCAAAATCTTCCTCATGAGCATGCCCATTAGTAAATTCCGAAAAAGCAGAATGAGAGCATTTCTGGTTCATACGGCTCATATCGAGGCCCATCAGCTAACTACTCAGCTTGATTTGTGTTTCAAAATTGTTTGAAGTTACTAGTTGCTATCATTTAAAAATATAAACACCTCATGTAAATAGCCTTATTTTTCAAGTAAAGCTGTGAATCTGATCTTGCAAAACTGGTCTGAGTCCCGCAAAGTTAGGGGGTCCAAACAGCATCTGCCCCTTAACCAAGGCATAGAGTCACAGAACATTCCCAGTCCTCACTTGGCCTGCCTTACTCACTTACCTTTGCATGTGATTCCTGTGGACATCTGAGTTTGCAATTCGAAGTTTAACTGAGTTTCTAATGGAAACTGGTTATATTCAGGAGGAAGGGAGGAAAAGAGGAACCCTAGGTCTTAAAATGTATTAATTAAATCAAACCCAGCATGGAGATTAAGACAGTGTCTGATTGCCTGGTTTCATTCACTTAATCATTTTTTAGGCAATTAACTCTCATTTCTATGCCCTAATTATTATCTCTCTAAAACTGGCAGGTGTGGGGAATTTCTGAAAGATGAAGGGACAAAGTAGTCTAAACATACTAGTGCTTTGTATTCTAGAAGAGGTCAAATAAAAGGTATTTTACTCAAAAAACAAAACCAAAAAATAACCCCACACACTTTATAGCTAGAGAATGAAATATAAACTATGTCTGAGAATCCAAGTGTAATTTTTTTAAATCAACAAACAGCAGATTGCACAAAGGTTTCCCTCACCTGTCCTTTAAGAATAAATCAACCACAAAACAATATTTATTCTCTTTACCTGGACGTCTGATGGCGGGGTCAGGATCAAGAGTTTTCTTTAAATATTCTGTTAGCGTCTGCAAATTTGCATCGCTGAGCTCCATTGCAATAAAACCTGAAACAAGAAATGAGGTTTGGGTAATCGGTCACATGGGGACTCAGTAATTTGCATTAAAAAATCCTTTTATATTATCAGTCTTCTTCTCTCTCAAAGTTATCCACTTGTTATGTATGGGTTTGGGCTATAAGCCTGACTTAACTAAGATGGGCGGGCTTTTTTTTTTGAAACTACGGTGAGATAATTCTGAGATAAAGGAGAAGAAAAAACATATGATTTCAAAAAGACAGGCACAGAGAAGCAGAGTTGAAGAACTGATCAGTCTCCAAAAATGTGATCTAATTTAAATGCTATGAAACAGAACAAAGGTTAGACTCACTAGAAACCTTTTATAAGCCCTGCCATAAGAAATTAAAAATTTAAGCAGTAAAAAAAAAAAAAAAAAAAAAAAATTTAAGCAGGAAGAATTCCATAGTGTCCTGAGAGTAAGGAAATTAGAATAATGCCTTTGTGTACAACATTCCATCACAAGTACTGACAACAAACTACTGTTGAGAATTTGTATCTGGGGAGGTAATTTTAGGGTTCAGAAGATGACAGCTGTGATTAATTTTTTTTTAATTTTAATTGTTCAAGTACAGTGTTCTGTCAACTGTGATTAACATTAAAAAGTAACTTCCTACACCAAAAACAAAAACAAAACAAAAATGTACAAATGGGACTACATCAAACTAAAAAGCTTCTGTACAGGAAAGGAATCCATCAACAAAATGAAAAGGCAGTCTACCAAATGGAAGCAAGTATTTTAGCAAATCATATGTCGAATAAGGATGTGGCCCCCAACCTTTCTGACACCAGGGACCAATTTCATGGAAGACGATTTTTTCCCCATGGATGGGAGGAGGGAGCAGGGTAGAGGTTGAGACAGGAGGCATCAGGCAGATGCAAGCAAAGCTTGGCTAACTTACCCACTGCTCACCTCCTTCTGTGCGGCCCGGTTTCTGGTACCAGTCTGTGGCCCCGGGGGGTGGGGGCTCTCCTGACAAGGGGTTAATAGCCAAAAAATATACAAAGAACTTATACAACTCAGGGAGGGCGGGAACAACCCAATTTAGAAATGGGCAGAGGGTCTGAATAAAAATATGCCAAAGACATACAGATGGCCAACAGGTGCACAAAAAGGTACTCAACATCACTGATCACAGGGAAATGCACATCAAAACCACAAGACTTTACCTAACTCCTGTTAGAATGGCTATTATCAAAAAGACAAGAAATACAAAGTGTGGGTAAGGATGTGGAGAAAAGAGAACCCCTGTGTACTGCTGGTAGGAATGTAAATTGGGGCAGTCACTATAGAACAATATGAAGCTTCCACACACAAAAAAATTAAAAATACGACTAGCACATGATTCAGCAATTCTACTTCAGGGTAATTATCCAAAGGAAAGGAAAACACTTAACTCAAAAAGATATCTGCACTGTCTTGTGCGCTGCAGCATTAACAATAGCCAAGACATGAAAGCAATCTAAGTATTGATCAACAGATAAATGGACCCCCCCAAAAAAAAGTGGTATATATACACAATGGAATGTTATTCAGACACACACACAGAAATTCTGCCACTTGACAACATGTATGGACCATGAGGAAATTATCCTAAGTGAAATATTGGGTTGGCCAAAAATTCTGTTATTTTTTTTTTCATTGATAGCTCTAGTACTGTTTGGTTGTCTTTAACTTCATCTGAAACAGTTCTGTTACATTGTATTGTGACAGCTGTCATATGCATGCATTTAAAAAAACTTACCAAGACTGGCGAGTTTTTGTGCAGCCATTTAAATGCTGAAGATGGAAGAAACACAATATTTTCAATGTATTATGCTTTATTATTTAAAGTAAAAACACAACTGAAACACTAAAAATGATTTGTGCAGTGTATGAAGAAGGTGCTGTGACTGACTGTGTCAAATGTGGTTTGTGAAGTTTCTTGATACTATGGCATTCTGGCCAAACAATTCTTTGCTGTTGATCAGTCTGTCTCATGTATTGGAAGATGTTTAGCAGGATCCCTGGCCTCTACCCACTAGAAGCTAATAGCAGGAGATAGCTGACAAAATACCCATATCATAAAGTTACTGGTGAAAATGAAAAATGTGTCTTGGCACTTCCACCAAGATGGAGGCGTAGGTGGAAACACTATGCCTTCTCACACAAACAAGTTTAAAAACAATAAAGTTTTAGCAACAAAAAAAACATAGCAAAACCACAGAAAATTGAACTACACGGAAGCCTGACAACAAGGAGCCATTCAGCCAGACCGGTAAGAGGAGCAGAGCCAGCAGCGGAGCAGGTTGGGCAAAAAAGATCCCCTGACTCTGGTGCACAGGCAGCAGAGAGCGGACCCCAGGTGTGGGGTAGCAACGGGAGGACCCAGTGAAGGCACAAAGCAGCAGGCTGACCATGGTTACACATTCACGCACAGATAAACCATCGAAGGAGCGAGCAGTAAGACAGACCAGGCAGGCCCCAGCAGCAGGAAGGAGCAGAGGGGATCCCTATTGCTCCCTCTCTGACCCCGCCCCCACATACAGCATCACAAACCAGCAACCTGCGTGGCCCCACCCTGGTGAACACCTAACGCTCCCCTCCTCATACGTGACAAGCTCGAACAGATGAAAACATGGCTCAAGAAGAACTCAAACGCCCCAGAGCCAATAAATCTAAGCAATGAAGAAATTGCCAACCTATCAGATGCACAGTTCAAAACACTGGTGATCAGGATGCTCACAGAACTGGTGGATTTTAGTCACAAATTAGAAGAACACATGAAGGCTAAACTAATTGAAATGAAGGGAAATGCAGAGGAAACCAATAATGATGGAAAGAAAACTGGGACTCAAATTAAGGGAGTGGACCAGAAGGAAGAAAAAAATGACCAAACAGAAAAATATCAAGAAACAAGAATTCAAAAAAATGAGGAGAGGCTTAGGAACCTCTAGGACATCTTTAAACGCTCCAACATCTGAATTATAGGGGTACCAGAAGGGGGGAAGAGGAAGACCAACAAGTGCAAAACTTATTTGAACAAATAATCAAAGAGAACTTCCCCAATCTGGCAAAGGAAATAGACTTCCAGGAAATCCAGGAAGCTCAGAGAGTCCTAAAGAAGTTGGACCCAAGAAGGAACACACCAAGGCACATCATCATTACATTAGCCAAGATTAAAATGAAGGAGAGAATCCTAGAAGCAGCAAGAGATAAGGGGACAGTCACCTACAAAGGAGTCCTCATCAGACTGTCAGCGGATTTCTCAAAAGAGACCTTACAGGCAAGAAGGGGCTGGAAAGAGGTATTCCAAGTCATGAAATCCAAAAACCTACAGCCAAGATTGCTCTATCCAGCAAAGCTTTCATTTAGAATGGAAGGACAGATAAAGTGCTTCTCAGATAAGATCAAATTCAAGGAGTTCATCATCACCAAGCCCTTATTATATGAAATGTTAAAGGGACTTATCTAAGAAAAAGAAGATTAAAAAGATGCACAGTGAAAGGACAACAAACTCACAGTTATTAACAACCACACCTAAAACAAAAGCAAACTAAGAAGACAGATCAGGAGCAGAACCATAGAAATGAAGATCACATGGAGGTTAGCAATAGGGGAGTGGGAGAAGGAGAAGGGGGAGAAGGCACAGAAAATAAGTAGCATAGACGGTAGGCAGAATATAGATGGGGAGGGCAAGAATAGTATGGGAAATATAGAATCTAAAGAACTTGAGAAACGTGGTCATAAACTAAAGGGGGGGAATGGTGGAGGAGGGGTGTTCAGGGTGGAGGGGAATGAAGGGGGGAATAGAACAACTGTAATGACATAACCAATAAAATGTATTTAAAAAAAGAAAAAGAAACGTGTCTTTTTATTTTACAGAAAAAAACTAAAGGGACTTTTTGGCCAACCCAATACATTAAAGACAAATAAAGTATGATCTCATTTATATGTGGAATCTTTTAATAACAACCACCTTAACTCATAGACTGAGAACACATTGGAGGAAGATGGGTGAAAGGGGGTCAAAAGGTACATACTTCCAGTTATAAAATAAGTCATGGGGATATAATGTGACAAGAGTTAATAGCAGTATAATATACAGGGTTCAGCACAAATAACACCCCCTTTTTTAATTGTAACATCACAAGCATGTAATTCTGTAACATGACAGTACCATACTCAAACACACTATATGACATTTTAGGTGAAATGTGCAAATTAAAACTATAAATTATTATACCCCTATTATCATCCTACCAATCACACTCAAGCAGGCGTCACTTCTGCCAGACCTTGTATATTTGAAAGTGCTAAGGGAGTAAATCTTAAAAGTTCTGATCACAAGAAAACTTAAATTATGAGTGATGATGGACGCTAATGTTCATTGTGGTAACCATTTCGCAATACACACATCTATCAGATCATTATATTGTAAACCTGAAACTAAGGTCAATTATATCTTAATGAAAAGCAACTTTCTTATTAAAATATACAAAACTTAATTATGAAGAACAGAAGATGCCATAACTTACAAAAAATTCACATCTAATATATTACAAATTATAAGGTAAATAGTTTATGTAGATATAACTGATAACACAAGGCTAAGACACACACACACAAAAACAGCACATACACACAGATGACAAGTGTGTGTGCACACAAACGCACAGGTCATTGCCAAGGGACCAAAATGCTGGAGAATGCTACAAATGGAACTTTATGGTCTCCAATTTGTTGGTAAATAAATAAACAGATAAAATTAAGTGTGAAGCGAGAACTTTTGGGGGTGAAAGAACTGTTCTAAAATTGAACTGTGGTGACAGATATGTATAACACTCACCAAATAGCACACTTCAAAAGAATGAATTCATGGTCTAAGTTATACCTCAATAAAGCTATTTTTAAAAACCCCACTTCTACTTAGATCCTCATAGGCAGCTTTTAGGGACAAAGTCACATGTAGCTCCTAGGGAACTTGGAGAAATGTAGCCTTTTTAGGGTA